ACATGTGGTGGAACGAAACTGTGTACACAGGGTCCCAGTTACATCCAACAATAAAATGTAAAGATCTAAGATATGAACTAAGAAAAATGTTAACTACAAATATGCTAAGCACTAATAGTATAAAAACATTACGTCGAACAGCAGCACGAACATGAGTCTGTGTGAGCAGATGAGCACGCATGAACACAGCGACATGAAACATCAGCAGCAGCATGATGTGATTTTTCACAGTGATTTTACTGGTTAGAGATTCATGAGTCTAACAGCCTCAGGGTAGAAGCTGTTCCTCAGTCTAGTGGTTCTACACTTAATGCTCCTCAACCTCCTGCCTGAGGGGAGCGAGGCAAAAAGTGTGTGTGCTGGGTGAGTGGGGTCCTTCATGATGCAGGTGGCCCTCTTCCTGCATCTGGAGGTGTAGATGTCTGTGATGGTGGGGAGACAGACTCCGACAGACTTCTGTGCAGCCTTCACCACTCTCTGCAAAGCTTTTCTTTCTGCAGCTGTGCAGCCTCCTTGTCACACGTTGATGCTGGAGCACAGGATGTTCTCCACTGCACACCTGTAGAAGGAGGTGAGGACTGAGCTTCCCAGACCGGCTTGTCTCAGCCGCCTGAGGAAGTAGAGTCTCTGATGAGCGTTCTCATGCCTCATATATCATGGGTTTAATAAATCCCTCAGATGTGCTGTACCTGAAAAGCATTTCTCTTTACTCAGCACACGTTTAGAGATCCGAGCAGGCCGAGTCCTGCAGCCCGTGTTCTGATCAGCTGCAGGACCAAGCTTATCGAGGCCCAGACGCCGCCTCTGTAGATAAGCTGCCATCTCCACCACTAACTGCTTTATCAACAGGGTCTCACCGCACCAAAGCCAGACACAAGCAAGCTGTGCCTCTGTGCATGTGCATGCATGGGTGTGTGTGGGTGTCGTGGGCCAATATCTGCCTGGTAACTACAAACAGGCTGCTCCAGATTCACAGAAGTAATCCTCACACACGTGCACGTTTGCACACACGCGTATACGTAGACAGCACACTTACACAAAAAGATGGTTGTAAATTGTGCAAGCTGTTGTCATGGCAACATTGTCACTTTCAGTCTCTCACGTGCATCCGTCATGGGGTATAAAAAAAAAAACAAACAAGAAGAAATGGATAAACACCTACATCCTTGGAAAACACGCTCTTATCCAGAGGCCGTGACAGCGAGGGAGGGGGGGGATGGGTGATGATACTCAACACCTCCCCAGTCTCTCCTCAACTGCCTCCCCCCTCACCTCCCCCTCTCCTCTCCCTGGAACCCATGAACCTTCACATACTAACCACACACATGCTCCTTCTTCTCTGCTCTGTACAGGCCTGTGTCAGCACAACACTACAAAGAGCTCAGTGTAAAACACAGACAGGGCTTCCTACACCCCCCCCCCCCACACACACACACACACACACACACTCCCTGTGCTTTTACTCACAGCTTTCAAGTTTTTAGACTGAACAATAGAGGAGCGATGATCAACACAAACACAAGTTTTACACGGTGCAGTTTAGCGAGCCCTGCTCATTTCTGATCGTTCTGGTCATCGTGACGTTGCTCCTTTGATAAGTTCACATGATATGATATAAAATAACTAAGACTTATTTGCGTAAACATGTTTTAGGCCCTGCTGATCGTAGAGACTCTCTTCCAAGAAAGGTCAAGAAGGTCCTTTCTATTGAATTTTGGATCAATAGTTTCTTTTCTGATAAAGCCTCTTGTTGTGTTTTCTTTTGAAAATATACTATAGGACCTTGAAGAAATACATACAAAATCTAATAAGCTGAATGTATAAAGTTAGTCTTAAGCTGTAAAACATTAACAAGTTGCCCACTGTTTGTTTGTGTACATGTACCTTGAACTACAGTTTCCTGTCTGTGTGTTCAGGGGAAGGAAAAGAAAGCACATTTATAAAAAGTCAGGTGAAATCCACAGAAGCACCTATTTTTACTTTCATTTTGCTCCACTTCCAGTTTCTGTTTAAAACGTTCTGTGGCTTCCAGACTGTTCCAGTCGGCGTTTCCATGAATCCGCTCACTACCATGACAGCATGTTCCCTCAGAAAGTACACGCTAACACACAGCACGGGTGTTTGCTTGATCAACAGAGCTGCTTGCAGCGCCTGGAGCCGTGCGCCTGACGTAATACTGAAAAGGTGGTGGGGGTGGGGGGGTTATGGGGATATGTTTTGACTTGTTGAACCTTGGGGCTAACTATACAACAGAAATAACACGCTGCGAGTGACTGGTTTCTACGTTTCACAACAGCAGGGACAGCAAATAACACGCTCTTGTGCCTGTAGATCTAAAACAAACAAACAAACAAACAAAAGCTGAAGTTAGGGTCAAACTTCCTTTAGCACCAATAGCTCATGTGATTTGTCTTATTGTGAGGGTTTCACTGTGATGTTGTAATAGTTTTTGGTTGGGTCAGGAGTCCAAAGTCCGGCAGCTGATTCCGTCTAGTCAGCAAGACATCTGACCAGCTTCCACAAAGTCTGACCAGCTTTGATTTATCAGTCACCACAAGAACTGCTGTCAATTTACTGACCCTGTTTTCTCACTATATGATTATGATTTAAACAACATCTTGGATTTTTTAATTTAGTCACAAGATACCAGTCACATAGAGAAGTCACAAGATGTTTTCTCTTTCCCATATTTTTGTCTGTTTGTCTAAAACAGGTCTCACTTGTAAATGAGTCTCTGGGGCTCAATGTGATTCATCTTTGAATGAATGAATACCGCACCTCATTCAGATTCACATCTTTTTATGAACTTGCTAAACAACCCAGCTTTCCCCAATTATCTACAGAGGTGTTACAACCCTTTTTATAACTACAGAACTATTTTTGTTTTATAACTAAGATAAAAAAACAGGATCTCTAATTATGACTTCTTTTGTAACACGCACAGTGTTCACACTTCCAACATTAACACGAGTGTGCTTCTTGTGCATGCTTCTTTCTGTTTGTGCACATCTGTAAAACTCATTTCTAGGGCTATATTTAGATTACAGATGTTAGAACGTACATGTATGATCTCCTTACAGCTGAATATTTTATCAAAGTTTCTGGATGAGATGTGTGTTATGATAATTTAGATGGGGATTTTGAGCTTCTTTTTTAAGTGTCTTCACAAGATTACTATTTTATTGTAAAAAAAAAGAAAAGATTTTTGTTCTTTGTACTAGCACTGAAACTAGTTTAAATCAGTTAGGAACAATCATTGGAGCGTCTTTAAACCATCTTTTTTTTTTTCTTTGCCAACTGATAAAAGTGTTTACATTGTGTAAAAGAGTGCTAGCAACAAACCAGCTTCATATTTGTCCAGTTGTAAATCTGCTCTTGCGCTGCTTCACTGTATGACTTACATGGGTGGAAGTAATGAATTACAAATACTCATGTTACTGTATTTAAGTTGATTTTTTTTGGTACTTGTACTTTCATGAGTATTTCTTTCAAGTGTGTAATTTTACTCTTACTTACAATTTAGACCATGTAATCTACTTTGTTACTTTTAAAATCAGAAGTCGCTACTGAGTACGGCCATAATTTGAATTAATATTCAAACTGTTCATCTGTTGTAAAACCAGCTCCTGCTGACACTGAACAAAAGGTTCAGAAAGTGAAGGGTGACAGAAATGTCATTTACCTACCTGTTGTTCGTAGTGTATTTGGAAAAGTTTAAACTGTTAAACTACCAGTTAAACAGTTAAACTACCAGTTAAATTGTTAAACTATCATACCATACCATACCAATTTATTTATAGAGCACTTAAAAAAGCAACAAGGCCAACCAAAGTGCTGTACAATAGAAACAAACAAGCACAGCGGACAGGAAAACATAAAATAAAAATATAGATACAAATAGCAGCAGATAATAACTAAATGGCCTGTGAACTACAGACAGAAAGTTTAAACTGTTCTATGCTGGTTCAAAAACATTTTTGTATTTCTTTTAACAAGCTTAATTCCTGCTTTATCTACATTTGTTTAGAAAAGAAATGGCCTTAGTGTAATTTTTCTATACTTTATTGTTCGTCTGAGAAATGCGCTTTGAATGTAGCTATTAAATCGAATTGAATGCCTTCTATTTTTTTCATTCAACCTTTATTTAGACAGGTTAATCCCACTGAGCCTCGGGGACTCATTTACAAGAGAGACCTGAAATTGACAACACAATAAAACACATATTAGTTAAAAAGTAATTAATACCCTGAGTAGTTTTTGGGAAGAGTACTTTGTACTCTTACTTAAGTATTTTTTTAAAACAGCCAGTACTTTTACTTGTAATTGAGTACAATTTAAACAGTGTACCAGTACTTGTACTTGAGTACAAATTTTCAGTAGCCTTTCCACCTCTGATGACTTATTTCACATAGTCAGTAGAAAGCTTTTACTATTTTACACCATTTTATAATGCTTTTAAAAATTTTGTTTGATGGCACTTCTTTTATTTATTTTTCATTTTTTATGCTTTGAATGCTTATTGATGTGTGTACCTCATCTGTGTTTTTGTTTAAAACAGGTCTCTTGTGTAAATGAGTCCTCGTGACGTGACTCAGTGAGACTAACATGTATAAATAAATGTTCAATGAATACGAACAATTTAACCAATAATTTATAGCCTTTCATGGAACAAACAGTACGGACATGATTTGTTTGGTAATCATGCGCTCAAATAATATTAATACATTTTATTTTGTGTCAGTAGCCTGTTCAGTCATGCTTCCACCTGTAGGTGGATTACTCAGTACCTTGTAGGAGGGTGACGAAAAGACACGTAAAAACGCAATCCTGATTTTGGCGCATGCGCACACCGGACTTTCCCCCCTCGCTCTCGTGCCCCTCCCTCCGTCACAGAGCGAGCTGCTCGGGGGCTCCGCGGGCAGCCAATGGGAACGCGTTGTTTTACCCGTGACATCATCCACCACTCCTCTTGCTAAAGAAGGAAACAAACATCCATCCAGAAGAGGACGGGACACGGAGAAAAGAAGGAGGACAGGCAGGAGGCCGAGGAGGGGGGACCGTCAGACCCGTTTCAAGCCGCCTGACAGGGAGAACAACGAGACAGAAACACCGTGGACGATAAAAAAAAGGACGACACCGGAACTCGAAACAATCGACGTTTTCTGCTGAAACGGTCACTTTTGTTGTCCTCTCGCGAGAAATCCATCAATTCTTTTAGCAGGTGATTATCTGATTTTTTTTTTTTACGGGGCTTATTTTGGAGTTAAAGTGGGTTTACTTTATGAGGTAAGCAACGAGAAACGCAGGAGTTTCTGCTGGGATGGTGGTTCATCATGGCGACCTTTAACTGTGGCTTAAAAGGTCAGGCGGTTTGTGCTCGATAGGTTTTGTGTGGCGAACGACCTGGATTTATTTTTATGTTTTTGCTCATTTAACACCACCACCATGTTTTTTCCACCTCTGACGAATTAACACAAATGTTTAAACGTGACTGGTTAAAAGACGAAAACGAGGGAGGGAGCCAGCTAGTCCTGCTTTCTGTCTTGTTTTTCTATTTGTCCCGAGCTGGGGGATGGGGAAGCAAAGCCTGTTAATTCCTGTCTAGAAATAGAAAATTTATAAGCCGAATAGACAAGTAGAGCGAGAGACTTGCTCTCAAATTACTATCCAGCTTTTGCTGAAATATTAAATGATTAACCATTTTTTTTACAGTACACTAGTTTGTGCTGGGAGAGAAGAAGGGGCTTTGCTCGGTGTTAAAAGACTTTGTGGGATCAGCAAGCCGTTCCTAAGTGCTTAATTGTGATTATATAACCATTTCTGCTTTGTTGAGAACACGCAGAAAATGAGTATAAGCGCAGAATGTGCGTCAAATTCGAGGTAGAAGCCGATGTCTGAACAGGAAGCAACGAGATTACAAAGGAAGAGAGAAGAAACAAAGGCAGCAGAGAGTCTAGACTCTTCTTGTTTCACAGATCAGCAATGCCTTCCTTCCTGCTGCTGCTTCTGTTTTATGTTGTGCCATGTTTTCAGGTGAATAACTGAGCACTTCAACATAAAACTGTGCTGTTTCTGGCCTGTCCTTCGCTGTGACTCAGGAGTTTCTAACCCAGCAGGGCCTGAAATATGAGCCAAGTTTGCAGATGATGAAGAGGCTCAGTCTTCCCCTTTGTTTGCACGAGATTAGTTCACATATGTTCCTTTTTAGAGTGCTCTAAAACCACCGCACCATTTCAAGAGCTGTTCTCACAAGAGTTTGTGTTTCAGGAAATTGGGGTTGCGTCTGGTGCTGGAAAGCCCCTGTCAGATGGACTTTATTTTAGGGAGAGGTTTTTGTCTTGTTTGTGTTGTGTAGAGGAGTTTTAGTTGAGGCGACCTGCCTGCTGTTTGTATGACAGCTGGACCAGACATGACAGCTGAGTCTTGCCATCCATTGTTCCTTTGTGTCAGAAAGTTCGCAGTCCTGGGACTTGGATCATTGTGGTCTCGCTCCAAACAGAAATCTGTTTTGCACAGATGTCCCGTTCAGCTCCACTGGTTTTACACTGTCTAAATTTGCCTTCCTTTCTGGTATTTTTCAGTAGTCAGGAGTGGAACATGTGACACAAATGACCAGAGGTCTTTGTAGACTTTTTCCAAGAAAACTCTTTGTTGATCGAGTGGTGATTCTTTGAAGGGGCAGCGAAACAAAGAAGGAAACGCGGTTTGTTCGTGATTTTTAAGGCGCTTGTTAGCTGGGACACCTGAAATAAGATTACAGGGCAGTCTAAAGACACATGGCAGCCATCATCTTGCCTGTCCTGTTTTTGTGTCGTCAGACCAGAACAAGCAACCAGTTGTCATGTTGCATCAGAACAGGGCCACATGTTTTCAACTAGAATGTGATACTGTTGCTGTGTGATCAGATGAATTATCTACGTCTTTCTGTCTTGGATGTTCGTCGTGAATGTTTTTGATCTGTTGCGTAAACATCAGTGTTTCCCATTACACAACTTCCTGTTGTATTGCAGCAAAGGCAGACAACCACGTCACAGGACTTCTTGTTCTGCCAAACCTCACCCATACAGGGTTGTTTATTGGCTGACTGAGCAATGAAAGATTGGGGTTTTGGCATGCATACCTTGTGTGACGAGGAGCACGGGATGCTTTCTGTAACAGCTGACCTACTTGATTTAGTATCTTCTGGGAACAGAACGTTGTTCCACCTGATGAGAAATGTTTGTTCTTTCATGGTGATTTGACGGCCAGTGAGTCAAGGCTTCAGTTTGTGTTTAGATGAAGGATGTACAGTACCCTGACGAGGGAGTGTTGTGAATAATCAAATGTTGTTTTTTTTGTTTTTTTTACCCCAAGAGCGATCAAAAGGTTCATTGTTAGTCCTCCACAAACATTTTAGTTAGTTCTAAGGATCTGTAAGGATCTTCCTAAATACAAATGTGGCTTAGCTTCTTGGAATGGTGGTTTCTACTGTTCTCAGAGCTGCCACAAGGGTTCAAGGGATGAAAAAGATAAAAGCGAGGAAGGGGGGACATGGTGAACTAAGCTGTGGGACAGAAGAGTCCAATTTAAGCCAGAAGTGCTGAAGAGAACAGTGTGTGTTGTTTGTTCTCCGGGCTTCCTGTAGAGAAGCACTCATTACAGTATTCGGACTAAAGGGCAGGTCAAAACGGACGTGTTGTTGTTAAATGTTCATCAAATGATTTCCTGTGTTATCAGTCGGTCTTCCATCGATGGCCGTGTCAAACTGAGGTGTTTCTTTGTAAACAGCTGCTTTTCTTTCTGCGCCTGTCGGGTCTAATGAGCATTCTCACTCCGTCTCTTTTCTCTGTCTCTGTTAGCAATGGCTCAAGAGACCAACCAGAGCCCGGTCCCCATGCTTTGTGCCATGGGCTGCGGTTTCTATGGCAACCCACGAACCAACGGTATGTGCTCTGTGTGCTACAAGGAACACCTGACACGACAGCAGAGCAGCGACCGCATGAGCCCCCTCGGCCCAATGGGTAAGACGGCAAAAACATTTCACACCCACTAGTTTCTCTCAAAACTTAGACCGTGTTTATCCTGTTGCATATTTATAAACATGTAGTAAATCTTCCACAAGTTTCTTGGTATATATTTATTTTGTGGGTTCTATACTTTAATTCTAAAGTCAGTGTACAGGACACAGTTTGATTGTTTGTTGTTTTGACTGACTCTGTCCTCATTAAGGCTCCACTGCTAGTCCTACCTCAGAGGTCTCAGCCATCCAGAGACTAGAAGCCAGTCTAGCCAAGGTTGATGCCTCCCCTGCCTCTTCACCAGACATGTCTAGGTTAGTGAGGTCTGGATTTTACTGTTCGAGATCAATTAAGAATTTTCCTCCAATTTGAGGCTGTCTGGACTTGTGACTGACTGATCTTCCTTCAAAATTACACTTGCAGGACTGTTCAAGGGTCTCTTCCTGTAACTCAACAGATGACAGAGATGAGCATCTCCAGAGAGGACAAGCCTGAACCTCTAGAGCCTGGTAAAACGCACACGAACATGTTTGTTTAACAGACACGTCTTAGAACATGTTGTGACACAGATGAAAGCTGACAGACATCCTAAAACGAGCTTTGATTTGAAGGTGTCGCTGCTGCCGCAGTTTATTTTGGATGCTTTGCTGCGTACCTTAAACTCAACAGTTGGTTCTACTTACAGCCTTCAAGGAGGAGATGGTGCCTAAAAATAAGCCTGTTTAAAAATACTTCTAAAGCACAGGACACTCAGATTTGTTCCTTCCTGCTACAGTCTTTGTGCAGTGTACTAAATTCTGCCAAGAACACGAGACAGTTCAGAGAAGAGAGACAAATAGTTCATGTTTTCTATGCGTGTTATTCTGTTTGTATAAAGTATTGAATTGATCTTATCAAACATGTTTGCTGCTGTTGTGAACTACTAATCCTAATGAACACTTTTTTTGTGATCTTCTGTGTGCAGTTGTAAGTCAGCCTGCTGCCTCTAGCCCAACTCCTGTAGTTTCCTCTAGCGCCGATGAAAACAAGAGTGACACGCCCAAACCTAAGAAGAACAGGTGCTTCATGTGCCGCAAAAGAGTGGGTCTTACAGGTGAGCGGGGTGGGGGGGGGCGTAGTTTTCCTTTTAGAGGAAGGTCTTAGTTTTACTGGAAAAGCAGATCAGTCGTTCTATTTTGCTTCTCTGTTAGGGTTCATGATTTGATATTTGTGCTTCCAGGGTTTGACTGTCGCTGTGGCAACCTGTTCTGTGGCATCCATCGATACTCCGACAAGCACAACTGTCCCTACGATTACAAGGCCGAGGCTGCTGCTAAGATCCGTAAAGAGAATCCTGTGGTTGTTGCTGACAAGATCCAGAGAATATAGATTTTTTTATTATTATTTTTTTAAATGGAAGAAAGAAAAACAACAGCAGCATCCATGAGGAACCACCTTGAGAAAGACTGGAGTATGAGTGCAAACTTTTCAAACGAGCACCGGCATGAGTGATTGATGAGCGGGAGGACTTGATTTACAAAATCACAAACTTGGAGAAATTAATGGAGAGAGAACAAAAAAAAAAAGAAATCCTGTTTGATGGAGATGCATGAGTGATCACTTTTCTCATTTTTTGATCCATTTATTAGTTCGTTTTATTCTATTTTTTGTGTGTGTGTGTGTGTGTGAATTTGCCGCCGTCAAGTCCTTTTGATTTTCTAAGAATAAGAGTGTGTCGTTAAGAGCAGACCAGGCAAACTGTCCAGGACACGCTGCGCTCCTCTCACCCAGACCAGGTGCCACTTTGTGCCAAACCGTCATTTCACTGAACCCTGCTGTGTGTCGCATTATCCAACACAAAGGATCCATGAGTTGTCACTCAGTTTAACAAAAGAAGAAAAAATAATCCTGTCTCCGTCGTTGCAGAAGAGGATTTTTTTAGTTTCTCTCCTAGCTTTATCTACCTCAGAGCTGCTGTGTCGAGCTACCGTTGTCTTCCCCTTTTACTTCAGCGTCAGCTTTGACCCTCTGGTCATCTCGTAACGACTGTTTCCGTCAGAGGAATCGTGCTAGTTGGAAGACGAAAAAAAATCCACTTTCGCTTAGAATAATTTCCCAGCTTGTCCAGTCACAGATTATAATCCAACGCCTGGTGCGGGGCTGCGTGCACAGATGTGTGTTCTGGGAGGAAGGACATCACCTGTTCCCAGTGAGCCTGGTGGGTTGTTTTAAGGCTACGATGTTGTTGGGGCATAAATGAATACGTGCATGAGTTTCTGTTCATCTGAAGTTGGTGTTTAAGAAGTATTGCTCACTTGTTTGGGTTTTGGGGGAGTTTTATTTCCAGAGAATCAATTATCTGTTTTAATTGTACTGATGTTGGCGCACAGATTCAGTGCTCTTTATTTGTTTTTTTATTGCGCTAACAGCATTGTTGTGAGCACAGTGTGTGTGTGTGTGTGTGTGTGTGTGTGTTGGAATGTGGGTGTGAAACCTCCTGATCCCCCCCCCCTCAGTCGTTTTAGCTGTTGAGCTGCCCGGTTTATCAGCACATGTTTACAGAAGTACAGGAGCATGCCAGAGTTAGGTTTATGAACAATTGTAGAAATCAAGAGTAGTCGTAACTTCTCATCCGTCTGTGTGTCTGCTGTGGAGCGCTGCAGAGAGCGTGTGTGCGTGCATGAGCACGTATTTGTGCTAAAACGTATGTTTTCATAGCTGCCTGACACGTATGTTTGTGACTTGTTACTTTCCCCTGTGAGGATGTTTTTATTATTTGTATTAACTGTATCTGCTTGAGTTCCTTTTCTGACTTAGTTATATGCAAATTTGTACAAAACATGAAAGAAAAAAAACAACAAACCGTGTTGATATTTATGTATTACATATAATCTTGCTATCCAGCAGTACAACAGAATAGTATCATGTAAATAAAACTGTACAGAGAGAGATAACCAAGCCTCCCTGTTTACTTGCACAGCTGTTCACTTTAACACATTTTTGGAGTGTTTTGCAGTAAAAATACACATTTTATGATTTATTATCATTTATGATTTATTTAGGCAGTAGAATGGTAAGTGAAAGAAAACCTTGTCATCATACAGCGTAGCAGACACTTGGGGAACAAACTGATTCCAGCATTGATGTGACCTAATACCTTACCTTGGTTAACCTGCGCTAAAGACTAAACCTGACTCTGCAGATACTTGTTCAGACCTTGTCCGGGTCAAACGGGGAATAATAATCTGGATGTTGGAAGAATCCGTTCCACTTTATCCAGGCTTAACGTCGTACGTGCACAGTCCTCATCGTGTCTGTGTTTTTGAGATGCTTTAGTTGTTTTTTTGCCGGCTACTAATGGGAACTCCAGGACCTCGTGTTCACGGATGATGTCACATTAACAGCTGAGGTGGACTCGTGACGTCTCTGGAGATCACACAATCCCGACACAAGCCGTGGGAAAGTTTCGATTGGGTGGCATCGTGTGGGAAATAATCAAGTTCTTCCAGATGTTCGTTGTTTTTGTGTGCAACCATCGGGATCACTCGTCTGTGTGTCCTTCAACCAGAAATCACACCTGATGATGGAGGCAGTGAAAGATCTGAGGATTTTGTGTCCAAACCACTAGTCCCACAACTGTTTGAACCTAATTTATAGTTTTAAAATAATAAAATTAACAAAATACAAAGAAAGCACAGACGTCAAATCATCTTATCAGGTTTAGTCACATACAGACACTCCCTGGAGTGAAAATGTTAAACACAGACCCTCAGTCTGCATTAATACAAGTCTGTTGACGGCAAAAGAAGACGACTATAGTCACAGACACAAACATCTTCATATTGCTACTTAAAACCATTTTAACATCTACTCCACCATTTTATTGATTATTATGTGTTGGGGGAGTAGTAAGGTGTGCATTTTTTTTATTTTTTTTTTTACTATTTTTTAATTGCATCTTTTCACCAGACATTAACACATACTGGTCACCGAGAGTCAGAGGCACCATCAAGGAGAGGCCCGAGGTGTGCAATGCCCCCCACCCACCCATACATTTTTATATAAATTCCTTCTAAAGACTTAAACAAGATGTACCTAATTGGGTTCTGTCTGAAAATATTTATCCATCTTCAGTCATTTGGCTTCATCTTTTTGCTTTAGCTGGTGATAACTTCTTATACGTGTGTAGATAAACAAATCTAACAGTTTTATTTTAGGTTTAGACTTAAATACATCAATCAAAGGTTTGACTGTGTTTGTATTTATTGTGCTGCTGTTGAAATAGAGCCTAACTTGAAGAAATCTTGATTTTCACATCATATTTGTCCCTAGTTGTTTCAAAATATGCCAAAATAAGTTTGTAATGGTTATCAGCGGGATGAATAAACTTTTTATCAGTCGTCCACTTAAGTCATTTCATTTGGTTACTCAGTTTTAGGAGGACACATTCTTCAAACAACGTAGTTTTTTTTTTTATTATTTTATCTCCATATGTAGTTGTGTCATGTCATTTTATTTTCCTATTGTGCCTCAGAACGCATTCATAAATTATGTCAGTTGTGCGGATTTGTAGTAATTTTCCACAACTGGTAAAGACAACCACTTTTTCCTTGGTAAGCTGTAATGGATCATGCCCTAAAGGCTTGTAGCTCTTCCATAAGTATCCTAAAAAACATTATTTTCCATTTAGGCATCATTACTTTTAACTGTGTGTGCTACACATGCAAAATATTTAAACGCACACTTTCACAGAGTTTGTTTTCCTCATGTTTGCAGCTCGTTTATCTGTGTTACCTCCTTCCTGTCTGTCACTGGAGGGTCCAAACATTAAACTCTGCCTCAGGAGGTGTGAGACAAGATTCTGACTTGCTAAAAGAGACAAATGTTGCAGCCAGATGTGTGATGGATGAGCCAATCATCTAGTTAAACGGCACATCTTTAGTTAAACTTCTGCAGACGCTGAAACGTCCCGTGTCAGTGAAGCAGTCGTGCATCTTCCCCTTTGGGTTTGTGCTTCTGGAACAGTTTCATTAGATTGTCATGACAGGATTGTCTAATTAAACTTTCTACCTTAAACTTGATTTTATATATTTTTTTAAATCATATGAGAAGATTTAACATCAATGTTATAAAAAAAAATCCATTCTTTGTATTTACAGACAGTATATGACCCATTGGGGCTGTTATATTAATTATAGAGCTGGATGATGATGGATTCCTGCAGTTCTCTGAAGTGTCAAATAATGCATGTGCATCTCAAACAATTAAAATATGGTGAAAAAGTTCATTTTTTTGTCAATCATTTCAGAAAGTGAAGCTCATAAATTGCTTGAATTCATAACATAGAGTGAAATATTTCAATCCTTTATTTCTTGTAATTTAAATCTTACAAATAATGATAAACCAAAATTCAGGGTCTCAGAAAATTGGAATACATATTGTGAAGAGGTTGAACATTGTAAACTGCTGGTGTTCAGCTCAGCATCTACCAAGACATTTTAGAAAACTTCATGCTTCCTTCTGCTGAAAAGCGGAGATGCTGATTTCATTTTCCAGCAGGACTTGTCTCCTGCCCACACTCACAAAAGAAACAGAAGCTGGCTGTTGAAGACTTTAATTTTCTGACACAGAATTTAGGTTTTTCATTATCTGTAAGCCATAATCATCAAAATGACAAGAATTAAAGGCTTGAAATATTTCACTCTGTGTAATGAATCAATGTAATACACGAGTTTCACTTTATGAAATGGCTGACAAAAAAAATGTAACATTTTCAACATACTGTATTCTAAATCTTAAGACGCACCTGTACATGTTGCGCTCAGTGCTGCCATCTGGCGGTGAGAAGTGGAACAGCGCAAAGTCAAGTCACATTTATTTATATAGCACATTTAAAACAGTAACTGTTATCAAAGTGCTTACCAAAAAAGATCACAGCATCAAGTATTAATAACAACATATTACAGCAACATGAATAAAATCATAAATCATTAAATATAATGAGAAACAATGAAATACTAAATCAAATCACCCTGTGTTAAATGTCAGGGAGTAAAAGCAAAATGGATGAACACAATCATCAACAACGAAATGCCAAATGAGATCACACTGTGTTAAATGCCAATGAGTACAGATGTGTTTTGAGGAGAGATTTAAAAATAGAGACTGAGGTGGCCTGTCGAATGTTGATGGGCAGAAATGGGCTTCCATGCTTCTCCAAGCAATTTATGAAAAAGAAAAAAAGAATCTCATTATTTTGAGGAACAATTTCATAATTATAAATTCAAGTCCTAATTAAATTATGCTATCCTAAGATTAGTACATTATAATAAATGTGGCAGAAATGGGCTTCCATACTTCTCCAAGCAGTTCATCATTAATATCCATAATGTGCAATACAATTGTGTAATACTTGTATTTTTTACTTTCATTATTATATCTATATTGCGTTACATTTTTGATATTTTTAGTGTGTGTTTAATGTGTGTTTTCTTAAGGCGTGTTTTTGCACTGGAAAAAGGAGTGGCTCTTAATTTCATTGTACTGCGTATAATGACAATAAAGGCATTCTGATTCTGATTCTGATACTTATTGCCAATTAAAACTCTGGCTTTAGAAATTTGTCTTGCATCGTTTTATAATATCTTTAATAAAATGTTTTGTTTTATGTGCTTTAGTATAGAAAGTATTTTGTACCCATGCACATTGCTTACAGACGGTAGTATTTTAAATGGTCAATGTCACTTTTATCATTATTTGGTGTATTTATAAAAACTGCCATCACATTATACAATAATGAAATTCTGAGGTTTTAATAAAAATAACCAAATATTTCCGCACATATACAATACAACTTTATTTATAAAGCACTTTAAAAACAACATCAATGGCCAAATTGCAGTACACTGATAACGCATAAAAGCAAGCATAAAAATCTCTGTAACCAACATATCTATGCAATGACAAGCCTCCTTTATAACATTTCTTTCTTTCTTTGACTAGCTGTATGTGATTTTTGTGATTCTGCACTGCTAACTTCAGTCAATGCAAAAAATGGTTAAAGAACACAACATTAAAATACTTTTTATACTTCCATCCATCCATTATCTTCACACAGAAGCCACTGGTGCCCATATCCAGCAGTCACTGTGCGAGAGGCGGGGGACACCCTGGACAGGTCTCCAGTCCATCACATTTTTATATATCTTCATTATTTTTCTAAAAATCATGACTGTGATTATCTACATTTTGTTTTTGTATGAAAAGTTGTCTACCTTGTCACTGGGGGCAACTGTCTCAGAAACTGGTTGATGCAGTTTGTGACATCGTCGGCAGCATTTTGTCTTTTTTGTTGACACAACTGATTGAAGTGCATCAAATTCCTGCACTCATGTTTCCTAATTTCCATCATATGGTTTTGTGTCATATTGTGACATGGATGCATGTCAGCACTTTCACTGGCTAGATATTAATGAAAAAACCCAAGTGAAATTCAAAATGCATTTAATAGACAGCAGACGTCTTCAACACTGAATCACTCTGTCAGCTGAAGGCAGACCACGTGCTCATCAAACACCAGCATGAAGTAAAACTGTTCACCCTGTCATCATCTGTTCATGACGGGATGAACATGTCTGCTGACTTACAATAACCTGATGACTCCACTCATATTACAACAGTTTTTACACACACTACCATAAATTATTTACTGCGCTGTAGTAGAAGTTTACAATCTTTAATTTTATGGTAATTATTGATCTCAGCAGACCTTTTGATACATTATCATAATTTGATATTTCATTAACTAACTCACAAACTTTTTCTATGTAAACAAGTGACTGTACAAGAATGATCTCAGTGGGGGTTTATTTTCTTTTATTTTGTATTTTATGCATGGTTCTACATGTAGCTGAGAAAGCAAGAAGTTGTTGAGAAATTCATGATCTCACCTCCTCAGGTTGAACACAAACCTGCAGGTTTGAAAAGACCTTCATGCTGGATGTTTAATCCATCTAAAGCTGATGGGTCCTCCTGGTTTCAGCCAGGTTGAGATGGTTTTGATATGCGCTGATGCGAGATAATAGATATGTTTGACATAATCGATATGTTTGACATAATCGATATGTTTGACAAAGGATGATGGAGATTTGTGGATGTGGGACAGGAAGTTATGATGATGTTGTAACAGATGAGATGGAGGCAGATGAAAACATAAAAAAAACAAAGAATATCACGTGTCAGAGGTACACAGTCATGTTTTGTACTCTTCCAGAACAGTTTTTGTACCATTTGTGCATTTAAAAAAAAAAAACTAGTGATTTTAAGAAATCCAACATATACAGTCGTACTGTGTTTGTGGTGCTCACAGGTTGTATGCTTTAGGCTTAAATGTGGAACTGAGCTTCATGATGAATAAATATATAATATGCATATAAGTATAATATTTAGAATATGAATAAAATGAAGAAAACATTAATTAAAGCAAATACACACACCTGTTAAGAGGGACTAATCAGCTTAAAACTAGCAATGAGCTTGAAGGGCTACAGCATAAAAACACTGACATGTAACCAGAAAATTAAAACAAAAATAATAATAATAAAAAACTGCCTGTAGAGGAAATTAAATTTGAAGGTTAGCTGATAACAGATAACTCAGATCAGAGTATTTTGTGTAAGGAAGAACTCATAAAAACATATTTTGACGCCAACCTGTAGTGACAGAAGATGACCTTCAGGGGGCGCTGCTCAGTTTTTGTCTTTCTAATGTACCACGTTTAACACCGGAAGAGGAAGTTTGGGTTCGCTTGTTGTCCGCTCGTGTTAGCTTTTGTTACGTTTGAGAAACGCAAGTTTCTTCACACAACTGAAAAGTGTCTATACCTAAAATTGAAGCCCTGTGCCGATGCTAACAGCGTCCCAGTAGGGAGGCAGAGTGCACTGAACTCTGAGTCGGCGGCCTGGTTCACGCGGAGCGGGGGAAGCTGAAGGAAAAGTCGCACCATGGCGGATGTTACTGCGCGTAGCCTGCAGTATGAGTACAAAGCGGTGTGTTTACATATATATACACAAGGAAATCTGGACGTTTCATTGTTGTTGTAGGTAATTTCTGTTCATCCAGCCTGTACTGATCTGTTTGTGTTGGTAGAACTCCAACTTGGTGTTGCAAGCGGATCGCTCTCTGATCGACCGGACGCGGAGGGATGAGCCCACCGGAGAGGTGCTTACCCTGGTGGGGAAGCTGGAGGGGACCAAGATGGGGGACAAGGCTCAGAGGACCAAACCTCAGAAGCTCGAGGAGAGACGAGACAAGTCCGTAACGACAACCAAACACATAATTTCAAGTTAAACACTGTTTTGACATCTTAAGTGCCCTGAGATACAGCCTGATGTGACTTGGCCCCCTATATAAATAAACTGAATTGAATTGAACCCAGGATTGCAGGTGTTTTTGTTATGTCACAAAATGTTTGAGTCATAACAGAAGATTGTGATTGAAAGAGCTGCCTCGAGATAAATAAATTTAAAAAAACCTGGGCTATCTCAAGTTTAATTCTGGCGTCGGCTGAATAACATTATTTGTTTATTTTTTCAGGAGACGAAAAAGAGACGAGGACAGACACGACATCAACAAAATGAAAGGCTTTACCCTTCTGTCCGAGGGCATCGATGAAATGGTGGGCATTGTGTACAAGCCTAAAACCAAAGAAACCAGAGAAACTTATGAAGTACTGCTCAGCTTCATCCACGCTGCTTTAGGAGATCAGGTATATGAACATCTAAACAGCGAACACTAAAAATCTACCTCGTGTTTTGGACCCACAGCTGACATGTTGTTAACATACCTCTGTTACTCTGCAGCCGCGTGATATTCTGTGTGGAGCAGCTGATGAAGTGTTGGCAGTGCTGAAGAACGACAAAATGAGAGATAAAGAAAGGCGGCGTGAAGTCGAGCAGCTTCTTGGACCTTCTGATGACACGCGCTATCACGTGCTGGTCAATCTGGGAAAAAAGATCACAGACTATGGAGGAGACAAGGATTTACAGAATATGGGTAAAAAAAGATATAAAATAAACAATATTATGTTACTCTTAAGCTTTTTATTGCAGTTAATGTGACAAGACATTTCCATTTATTTACAGATGACAACATTGATGAAACATATGGTGTCAATGTGCAGTTTGAATCTGATGAAGAGGTAAAGTTTTTTTTTTTTTTGTTCTGCTTTCTGCACAACGAACTGACCCTCATAGAAAATAAGATTCTCCTGACTTTGAGTTTTACTGATAAAAGTTATTTTGTCCCCCGAAGCTTTGGAGCGTACAGATGTCTGTGCTCCCAAAATTTTTATAGAAGTAATCATTTTTGTTGTTCGCAGGAAGGGGATGAAGACCAGTTTGGAGAAGTACGAGATGAACACTCAGACGAAGACAGTGAAGGAGAGGAAGCATGTGTGTCCACTACACTTACAGCCAATGTAAGTGTAATGTTCTTTTAATTAGTCTGTACTTTAGCTTTTTTATTCAGAATTTTTAAAAATTGTTAATTAATTCCCGTTTTTGTAGCTCGGAGAAACAGGTGATGTGATGACCGTGAAGAAAAAAGATTTACATCCTCGAGACATCGATGCCTTTTGGCTCCAGCGTCAGCTCAGTCGTTTCTATGACGATGCCATTGTCTCTCAAAAGAAAGCGGATGAAGTCTTAGAAATCCTCAAGGTTTGTCAACATTTGTTTATAGTTGACTCGTCCCTGCCCCCCGATCTTTTGGACACCCCTTTTCTCTGTTGTTTTACAGACTGCCAGTGATGACAGAGAATGTGAGAACCAGCTGGTGCTGTTGTTGGGCTTCAACACATTCGATTTCATTAAAATCCTCCGTCAGCACCGTCGCATGAGTAAGTCAGTCTAGTTGGATGACACTGCCAGAACGTTCTGCCGTATTGTTTTTATTTTGAAATTGTTTGTGTCTTTTCTCGCACGCAGTTCAGTATTGTACCATGCTGGCGAGCGCTCAGAGTGAAGCAGAAAAGGAACGGATCATAGGGAAAATGGAGTCGGATCAGGAGCTGTCAAAGATCCTCTACCAGCTTCAGGAGACAGAGAAGGAGGACATCATTCGGGTAAGACGTCCTGTTTGTGAAGTTATGTCATAAAACCGTTTGTCTGTGTTGACCATCACAGCTCGATTTTGTTTTTTAGGAAGAGCGATCTCGCAGGGAGAGGGTGAGGAAGTCTCGCGTTGATGACTTGGAAGCAATGGACATTGGCCATGGAGAGGTAAATACTGTCACATTTTCTGTAGAGCCATACACTTGATGGAAATGTGCGTGACTGCTAAAGCTGTCATGTTCTCCCACAGTCAGTGGTGCCTCGACAACTTCTGGACCTTGAAGACTTGACCTTCACTCAGGGTAGCCATTTCATGGCCAACAAACGTTGCCAGCTCCCAGATGGATCTTTTCGTAAGCAGCGCAAAGGTTATGAAGAGGTTCATGTGCCCGCCCTCAAGCCTAAACCCTTTGCTGACAATGAGGTTTGTTGATCAGATCACTCGGTGTGGAAAACTTAAAGTCAAACACACATATGACAAATAGCATGCATCAAAATTTACACCATTTTTATTTCATTTATTTATTTATTTCAATTATGACCCCCACAGCGGCTGATAGCCACCTAACCCTCTGAGCCACAGTGCCTGACAATATTTCTCAACTCCATTCTATTTTCAAGCATTACTCCTAAAACAAAAACATTTGATGTGTATTTGCTCTCTTGAGTGGACATCCAGGTTCCTATAGTAACTTTTACGCTTTTAATGACAATTCTCTTTAGTTGTAGCGCTGTTTTATATTAAAAGTTTAAAAATGCCAGAGGAAAGGTTGAGAAATAGCCAGAGATATATGACCCAAAATCTCATTGTTATGAAAAGTTCCAAAATAATATTGTCTGTTTATCCATTGCTTAAGAGATTGGCTATTCTGGAAAGGAAGAACTAAATAGAAAGCTACTATTTAAAAGCACACAGCTTGACTCTTGTTATTTGTTTTAGTGGCATTAATGAGACACTGCTGCAGCTTTCATGGTGTGTTTTCAGCTTTTGAACTTCCTAACCATAGCCTTTTCTAGTAAACCCGTCTGTGGATGCTTGTATGTCCTACATTCAGCACATTCTTGTGTCTTCAGGTGCTCCTTGCCATTGAGAAGTTACCAAAATATGCTCAAGCTGGATTTGAAGGGTTCAAAACTCTGAACCGCATTCAGAGCAAGCTGTTTAAGACCACCATGGAGACAGATGAAAACCTGCTAGTGTGTGCACCTACGGTAAGAAAACGCTGCCAAAAACTACAAGCTTTCTGATTTGTTGTCCTCATGTGCGTTCTAAATAATAATAATTATTATATGACACACAGGGAGCTGGTAAGACCAATGTTGCCCTGATGGCCATGCTGAGAGAAATTGGGAAACACATAAACCTGGATGGGACGATCAATTTGGATGATTTTAAAATCATCTACATTGCACCCATGCGCTCACTTGTACAGGAAATGGTGGGAAGTTTTAGTAAGGTGAGTGTTTTTGTCACTCAAAAAGAGTTACCGGTACTAATATATGTGTGTAAATGTTTTACTATTCATTTCATGTTTGTTCTGTTTTAAAAACTTTTTAGAATTGTTCACAAGGTTCTTTGTCACTTGTGGTACATGAGGTGGAACGAAATTGTGTACTCAAAGTCCCAGTTACAACCAAAAAAAGCAAAAAATGTACAGTATAAAAAAGAAACAATATACAAGGATCTAAGATATATGCTAAACAATACTAACGTAATATAACACAGTGTATTAAACAGCAGCCTGAACATGCATTTTACATACTTTGAAGATATTTAATATCACTCTGGCTGCAGATCTACGTACAAAATATTCCCCTTTCTTGTTACAGAGGTTAGCAAGTTACGGCATCACAGTGTCTGAGCTGACAGGAGACCACCAGCTCTGTAAAGAGGAGATCAACGCCACCCAGATCATAGTTTGCACCCCTGAGAAATGGGACATCATCACTCGGAAAGGCGGAGATCGTACCTACACCCAGCTAGTGCGCCTCATTATCATTGTAAGTTTGGTTCTCAACCGAATGTTCCCAGACGAGTGACATGAAACCTTCAGGCTAACAAAGTGAGTCGTGTTCAGGATGAGATCCACCTGCTGCACGACGACCGCGGACCTGTGCTGGAATCCCTGGTGGCGAGGACCATCCGCAATGTGGAGCTGACCCAGGAGGATGTGCGTCTGATCGGTCTCAGCGCCACACTGCCCAACTATGAGGACGTAGCAACCTGCCTGCGTGTTGATCCTGCAAAGGGACTCTTCTATTTTGACAACAGGTGTCGTCATCAGAGCTAAAACTTTAATTTGATTCATTATTGTTATTTGCGTCACAATTTCTGTTCTTTAACTCGTTTCATTTTGTCTGCAGTTTTCGTCCTGTGCCTCTGGAGCAAACGTATGTTGGCATCACAGAAAAGAAGGCCATCAAACGTTTCCAGATCATGAATGAGATTGTCTATGAGAAGATAATGGAGCACGCTGGAAAGAACCAGGTGAGCTCTTGTTTGATTTGTGGCTCATAATTCCTATAAAGAAACCTTTTTTTATCTGCAGCGAGTTAAATCCATCTATTTTTTTTACATTGACTTGTCCCCCTGTAGGTGCTAGTGTTTGTTCACTCTAGGAAAGAGACAGGAAAGACCGCCAGAGCAATAAGGGACATGTGTTTGGAGAAAGACACCCTGGGTCTGTTCCTCAGAGAGGGTTCAGCATCCACTGAAGTGTTGAGAACTGAGGCAGAGCAATGCAAAGTAAGAAAACATGAACTTAAAATGTAAACATTTTATGTTGAACTGTTGATCTAAGTGATGGATTGATTTATGTCTCGTAGAACCTCGAGTTGAAAGATCTGCTTCCTTATGGTTTTGCTATCCACCATGCTGGTATGACCCGAGTCGACCGTACGCTGGTGGAGGATTTGTTCGCCGATCGACACATTCAGGTTCTGGTTTCTACAGCCACTCTGGCTTGGGGTGTCAACTTGCCCGCACATACTGTCATCATCAAAGGAACCCAGGTTTACAGCCCAGAGAAAGGCAGATGGACTGAGCTGGGAGCACTGGACATTTTACAGGTCTGTTGGCACTTTGCTGTTGTTTTTACTCCTTCTGGCATTTTTAACTCAAATTCATGTTTGATTTCAGATGCTTGGTCGAGCTGGTCGTCCCCAGTATGACACCAAAGGAGAGGGAATCCTGATCACGTCCCATGGAGAGCTGCAGTATTATCTGTCTCTGCTCAACCAGCAGCTGCCCATTGAGAGTCAGATGGTGGGAAAGCTGCCGGACATGCTCAACGCAGAGATAGTGCTGGGAAATGTTCAGAATTCAAAGGTTAGTGACTGGCACATACACTGATGTGAGGAAATAAAATGTTTTTCATCCTTTTTAATTATTTCGTCACACTTTTTGTTGCAGGATGCAGTGAACTGGCTCGGCTACACCTACTTGTATGTGCGGATGCTCCGTAACCCCACGCTGTACGGTGTTTCTCATGATGACCGGAGTACTGACCCCCTGCTGGAGAGGCGCAGAATGGACCTGGTGCACACAGCAGCCAGTGTCCTGGACAAAAACAGCCTGATCAAATACGACAAAAGGACAGGCAGCTTCCAGGTATCTGAGTCAGTAGCTATGTTTTAGTATGTTTAGTAATTCTGGCGCTAGTAAAGATATATTAATGTGGGAAGTTTTTTGTCTCGTTACATAAAGGTTACAGACCTGGGACGCATTGCAAGCCACTTCTACATCACCCACGACTCGATTCAGACCTACAACCAGCTGCTGAAACCCACTCTGAGTGAGATCGAGCTCTTCAGAGTCTTTTCGCTCTCCTCAGAGTTCAGGAACATCAACGTCAGAGAGGTACGCTGACTCCAGACAGACATGGTGCTTTAAATCTTTCCCTTCCCGTTAAACCTCTAGGTTCAGAACTGACAATAAACTTTGTTTCCTTTTTAGGAGGAAAAGCTGGAGCTTCAAAAGCTCCTGGAGAGAGTTCCTATCCCTGTGAAGGAGAGCATTGAGGAGCCGAGTGCTAAGGTAACGCATGCAGACAAGTTCATCAAATGATATTTAAGAGGAATTCTGAATGCAGAGGACAACACGACATGGTCGTTTCAGGATTGAAATTTATGCAACTCTTTTCTATTTAATGAAAAATCTGTATTTGCTGACTTGAATGTTTGTGTTTTTTGTTGCAGAGGGTAACTTAGTGAATGGACTGTGTTTATTTTCAGATTAATGTTCTGCTCCAGGCGTTCATCTCTCAGCTCAAACTTGAAGGTTTTGCTCTGATGGCAGACATGGTGTACGTCACACAGGTACAGTAGGACACCTTCTGTTGTGTTGGGCTTTCATCCCTCTGACTTGTTTTGTTTTGTGTAAAGTTTAATTTGTGTTAGTTTCAAAATGAGAGACAACAGAACCATGTTGGTCATGCTATATTTTTGTATTTTGTCTTTTTGTCTTGTAATTTAAAAAAAAATGTTCCCTTCCCGCAGAGTGCTGGACGATTAATGCGAGCCATATTTGAGATTGTGCTCAACCGAGGCTGGGCTCAGCTCACGGACAAAACCATGAATCTCTGCAAGATGATTGACAAAAGGATGTATGTGTTTCCACTTCTAAATGAACTTGTTGTGTCGAGGCAAACTGTTCATGGTTTTTGTCTGTGTGCTCCACAGGTGGCAGTCAATGTCTCCTCTGCGGCAGTTCAAGAAGCTGCCGGAGGAGGTGGTCAAGAAGATCGAGAAGAAAAACTTCCCCTTCGAGCGGCTCTATGATCTCAACCACAATGAGATTGGTGAGTTTTTTCCCTCCATGACACATAAGTTATCTGCTTTGCCTGCATAATGAGAAGTGGGTCTCGTTTGTTTCGTCGTTCAGGTGAACTGATCCGAATGCCGAAGATGGGTAAAACCATTCACAAGTATGTCCACCAGTTTCCCAAACTGGACCTGGCTGTCCACATTCAGCCCATCACTCGCTCCACACTCAAAGTGGAGCTCACCATCACGCCTGATTTCCAGTGGGATGACAAGGTCGGGAGTTAAACGTGCGTCACAGCGCTGCTTTAGTGTCTCAGCGTTTTTTAACTTCGTCTGTTCGTTTTCCCGTTTAGATTCACGGATCGTCTGAAGCTTTCTGGATCCTGGTTGAGGATGTGGACAGCGAGGTCATCCTCCACCACGAGTACTTCCTCCTTAAAGCCAAGTACGCACAGGACGAGCACCTCGTGACGTTCTTTGTCCCCGTGTTTGAGCCTTTGCCTCCTCAGTACTTCATCCGTGTGGTCTCAGACCGATGGCTTTGTAAGCAGCTCGATTCAAACGTCTCCCAGGATTCTTGTGATCTCTGCGCAAGCACTTCAGCTAACAGCTTTGTTTATTTTTCTGTTTTCCTTCAGCCTGTGAGACTCAGCTTCCTGTGTCCTTCCGTCATCTTATCCTACCAGAGAAGTACCCACCACCCACTGAGCTGCTGGATCTGCAGCCGCTGCCTGTCACGGCTCTCAGGAACTCGGCCTTTGAAGCTCTTTACCAGAACAAGTTCCCCTTCTTCAACCCTATACAGACACAAGGTACAGAGAAATGTAACTTCTATACTCCAAACAGTGCTTTATCATTACAAGGAAACGTTTGTCTTTGTCACATGTTCATGAGGTCTTCATAAAATGTCTGTGACTGTCAAAACCCACATCATTTTATGATTCGCTCTTTTGTTGTGAAATATTGGAGATATTTTATTTATTTAAATTAAATTTTGAAAACAACACTCAGTATTCAGCTTTAAAGCTCGGAATCCCACAACTTTTAAGCTTAGTACCAATAAGCACTCAGAAAACTGATAGAAAAACACAACTTAACTCGAGAAAACCTTAAGTTTGTTTGTCAGCAGTTTGGATAAGAATAGTTAATTGGAATCCGTTATTTAGCCCCAGTGTCATGAAGCATGTGCTAAATTAACCCCGGTTATTAAAACAGAACACTCAAGGTACAAGCGCTGATCAACGTAACTTTAAACTGGAAAACTCAATTCAGTAAAATATTTAACTTCTCATATTGAAGTTAAGTGCACAGCATAAAGCAGCAGAAATAATTCTGAGGTTCAGTGAATGCAGCACAGTTTGAAGTTTAATTTGTGAGAAGATAACCGAGTCGTGACGTATTGACCCCTGACTTGGTGAAGTTTATTGTAGCTGCATTTCTGTTCTTTTGACTGAGTGAGACAGGGACCCTGGAATGTGAAAATTAGGCAAAAGTTTGAGTTTTTGACGTTTTTGGGTTCGTAATGACTTTAGAAACTTAATTTATGCCCTAAAACAAAAGAAGAAGAAAAACAATCCTTTAGGTTTATTTTTTAGGGTTTCTTATGGTTTTTGTGTGAAAAAGTGTCAATAAATTCACCACACATTTAGTTTCATTTACCTTTTTCCTACAGTGTTCAATGCTGTGTACAACAGTGATGATAATGTCTTTGTGGGAGCTCCAACTGGCAGTGGGAAGACGATTTGTGCAGAGTTTGCCATTTTGAGAATGCTGCTGCACAACGCAGAAGGTCGCTGTGTTTACATCACACCAATGGAAGCGTTGGCTGAGCAGGTCTGCCTGTAAAAAACCAGCATGTCACATTTTTTACAATTATGTTAACTCAAAACCAGATGTTTCCATTTAATCTGGTTTTATTAAAAGGGTCATTAGATGACGACGGTTCTGATCTCTCAGGTGTTCATCGACTGGCATCAGAAGTTCCAGGACATTCTGAACAAAAAGGTGGTTCTGCTCACAGGAGAGACCAGCACAGATCTGAAGCTCTTAGGAAAAGGAGACATTATTATCAGCACTCCTGACAAATGGGACATCTTGTCCCGTCGCTGGAAACAGAGGAAGAACGTCCAGAACGTCAGCCTTTTCGTTGTGGATGAGACGCACCTTATTGGAGGAGAAAACGGAGTAAGAAACCAGTCCTGTTTGGTTTTGTTGTAGGAATTTTGTGTGTCATGTTCATTATAAATCACAGGAGATTTGTAATATTAACCCCCTCCTCCTACTGTAGCCTGTGTTGGAGGTCATCTGCTCCAGGATGAGATACATCTCCTCTCAAATTGAGCGTCCCATCCGCATCGTGGCTCTGAGCTCATCTCTGTCCAACGCCAAAGACGTGGCCCACTGGCTGGGCTGCAGCACCACAGCTACGTTCAACTTCCACCCCAATGTCAGACCCGTTCCTCTGGAGCTGCACATCCAGGTCTGTAAAGCTCGAGCACGGCAAATTTACCAACAGCAAGAATGCATGAAACCTTTATTTAAACTTTCTTCTTGTAGGGCTTTAATGTCAGCCATACTCAGACTCGCCTGCTGTCCATGGCGAAGCCCGTTTACCACGCCATCATGAAGCACTCTCCCTCCAAGCCGGTGCTGGTGTTCGTCCCGTCTCGCAGACAGACTCGCCTCACTGCCATCGATATCCTCACTTTCTGTGCTGCTGACGTCGTTCCTCAGAGGTCAGGCACTAACTTCTAGATGCTGTGGTTTATTTTTTATTAGATCTTTACTTAAGGATTTGAAACATAATGTTGGTCTAACACCAAAGTCCATGCTCAATAATCCAGGTATACAATATATAATGTTGGTCTCTTTAGGTTCTTACATTGTAAAGAAAAGGATTTGGCTCCATTCATGGATAAAATAAATGATCCGACTCATAAAGAGACGCTGGCCAACGGTGTGGGATACCTGCACGAAGGCCTGTCTGCGACTGAGCGCAAGATAGTGGAGCAGCTTTTTAACGCCGGTATGACACGCCCGTTCTCTTTGGACAGCAGGGATTATTATAATTTCAAATTACAGAAACCTGATGAATGTTTTATGGTGGTTTGTGTTCAGGGGCCATTCAGGTGGTGGTCTCGTCTCGCTCGCTCTGCTGGGGCATCAACATCTCTGCACACCTCGTCATCGTCATGGACACCCAGTACTACAATGGAAAAATCCATGCGTAAGGCTTTCACAAAATTATCAGGTTTTTATTGATTTATGTTGTGTTTGTGACATTTTCTCTGTTTTATCTCAGATATGTGGACTATCCCATATACGATGTCCTCCAGATGGTGGGCAAGGCAAACAGACCCATGCTGGATGATGAGGGACGCTGTGTCATCATGTGTCAGGGCTCTAAAAAGGTACACGGACACCTGATTGTTGTTTGTAAAAACTGAATTTAAAAGAAGAGCAAATGTAACAGAACTGCCCTTTGTTCTTAGGACTTCTTCAAGAAGTTTCTTTATGAGCCCCTGCCAGTGGAGTCTCACTTGGATCACTGTCTCCACGACCACTTCAACGCTGAGATCGTCACCAAGACGGTGGAGAACAAGCAGGACGCTGTGGACTACCTGACATGGACATTCCTCTACCGCCGAATGACACAAAACCCCAACTACTACAACCTGCAAGGCATGTAGCTTCCTTTAAAGGAACTCAAGTGGTTGGTTATAGAACAGCCTGCAGCTGTTGGGTTTAATATGCTGTTGGCTTTGTCCCTGTAGGTATGTCCCATCGCCACCTCTCAGACCACCTGTCCGAGCTGGTGGAAAACACACTGCATGACCTGGAGCAGTCCAAATGCATCAGCATCGAGGATGAAATGGACGTGGCGCCCCTCAATCTGGGCATGATTGCAGCGTACTACTACATCAACTACACAACCATTGGTTTGTAGCAACACTGTACTCTGATATTTGTATTGGTTCACCATTTGTTTACTTCTTGGACCCCTTCACTGTTTTGCTGTTCTGTTGGACAGAGTTATTCAGCATGTCTCTGAATGCCAAGACCAAGATCCGTGGGTTAATCGAGATCATCTCCAACGCAGCGGAGTATAAGAACATTCCCATCAGGCACCACGAGGACACGCTTCTCCGACAGGTAAAGATTACGCAGTCGCAACAGTTAGTCTTTATCACAGTGTTATTACATTTTGTTCAAAGGTCAGTAAAATAGAAAATATTCGTGCTGCCTTGTTTCATTTCAGTTGGCACAAAAAGTGCCCCACAAGCTGAACAACCCAAGGTTCAACGATCCTCACGTGAAGACGAACCTGCTGCTGCAAGCGCACCTCTCCAGGATGCAGCTGAGTGCTGAGCTCCAGTCGGACACTGAAGATATTCTAAACAAGGTCCACATTTCTGAAGTTTTATTATTTTTAGCTATCGCAGTTCATGTATTTGACCCCAGCTTGTTTATGTAATGAGCACATCTGCTGTTTGTAGGCGATCCGTCTGATCCAGGCCTGCGTGGACGTGCTGTCCAGTAACGGCTGGCTGAGTCCTGCCCTGGCTGCTATGGAGCTGGCCCAGATGGTCACTCAGGCCATGTGGTCCAAGGACTCGTATCTGAAGCAGCTGCCCCACTTTACCTCAGAGCACATCAAGAGGTGCACAGACAAGGTAAGTTTGTTTGATTGTTTCTTCATCGGTTTGATGAAACATCTGCAGACTCGGACCGACCTTGTTTCTCTTTCTTCAGGGTGTGGAGAGCATCTTCGACATCATGGAAATGGAGGACGAGGACAGAAGTGCTTTGCTGCAGCTCTCAGATGCTCAGATGGCCGATGTGGCTCGCTTCTGTAATCGTTACCCCAATATCGAGCTGTCGTATGAAGTGGCAGAGAAGGACAATGTCAAATGGTGTGTGCTTTTATATGCTGTAAACTATTACTAAAAAAATATCAGCTCAAACATTAAAACATTTGTATACTCATACATCTTAGATCCTTATTTACTTTTTATTCTTATACTTTATATTTTGTTATTTTGGGTGTAACTGGGACCTTGAGTGCATCGTTTCGTTCCACATGTGATGTGAATGACAGTAATGTTAACTTGAACTTGACACTAAGTGTAAACTAATGTCAGCGCAGCCTTCTGGGTAACATTGTGGATGTGTTTCATTCAGTGGCAGTCCGGTTCTGGTTCAGGTTCAGCTCGAGCGAGAAGAGGAAGTTACTGGTCCTGTGATTGCACCACTCTTCCCACAGGTCAGTTCCATCGTTCCGTTTCCGTGTAACATTATTTCTTTGAGTGGGCTGAAAAAAATAAGACTCCTGTGCTATATTTTGTTACAGAAACGTGAGGAGGGCTGGTGGGTGGTCATTGGAGACCCCAAATCTAACAGCCTGATTTCCATCAAGAGGCTGACCCTCCAGCAGAAGGCAAAGGTCAGTGAGACACCGAGAAGACCGAGGCCTTTAAATGCCGCCAGCAAAAACCAGGACCTCATTTTTTTTATCTTTTCTCTGCAGGTCAAGCTGGATTTTGTCGCACCCTTGATGGGCATTCACAACTACACCCTGTACTTCATGAGTGACGCGTACATGGGCTGTGACCAGGAGTACAAGTTCAGCATTGATGTGAAGGAGGCCGACAGCGAGGGAGACAGTGATTCAGACTAAACAGGACCTTCTGGACCCGTTTTCTTTGTTTTCATTTAAAAGTGGGATTCAAGGGGGTATTTTTTTTTTCTGTAGATATTTAACTTGGTTTTTGTTTTGTTGCCTCTGGCTGGTAGCGTGTCACGTTATGTCTTTGGTTATATTAAAAGGACAATGTTATTTGAGAACTTTTTTTAATGATCGGATTGATGGACGTCAGGCCTGTGTACAGGAAGTGTTAGAATCAAATTTCTAGAAACACGACAGACTTCCTGGTTGTATCCACAGAAGCAACTGTTTTCCGTGTAGAAATAACTTTGTAATTAATCTGAAGTCTCTGTTTCTCAAAATTAGTTTAAACAAAGATGGTGCAGTTGATTGGAAAACAAAGCACTGTCCTGTTGTGGATTTAAAATGTCTGGCTCTGTCCAAAATCTGTTTTTAATAAAACAATACCACAAATGATCTTATTTTGTAAAATGTATTTACTTAAACATATATTTAGTGATTAAGTCATTTTTAGGATGTAGAATCAAAATCACTGCTGCAGCTCATTTGATCATAAAAGCTGATATGAAATAAGAATTCTGTAGCATTAAAAAGAAAATAAATCCAGCTATAAAACAACAAACTTGATTTCACGACCACCAAGTTCCCAGTGTAACGTTCAAAAACAAACAGTTGTGGAATCATTCGTCTTCTTTGAACCTCCAAATGGCGATGTCACCGCTGTCGCTGCAGGAGGCCAGAAGTCCGGCTTCTTTCGGGTTCCAGGAGACGCAGTTAACATCCTGGCTGTGAGCTTTGGTCTCCTGAGCAGCCAGTGAGAACACCGGCTCATCTGGACTGGCCGCCGCTTCCTCCTTAAAAACTCGAACTGCGTCGTCACCGCAGGCGGTCGCTAGGGCGCCGGTCAGTCGACACCTGAACAAACTCAGTTTGATCAAAGATCTGATGCAAGAAAGTGGTGATACATGAAAAAATATGATCCCACCCAAACCATAATGCTCTTAATAATTCAGTTACGACAAAACACGGAGCCAACACCCATACATATGGGTGTACTGTACTACATCCGTACAGGAAAGGTTTAGTCTTACCAGGCAATATCATACACAGTTCGTCCATGATACCCAGACAGAGTGCAAACACACTTCCAGGATAAGTCCCCTTTTAATGAGCAGAGAAAAAAAAATGTAACAGATTGTTTTATCAATGGCAGAAGTGCGACTCTAAGCCTACTGACCACTCTCACCGGGGAATTCCTTCCAAATCTTCACAGTGCGGTCATCGCTGCAGGAGGCCATCCTCTGTCCAGTTGCATCAAAACACAAACTCCAAACTGTAGACGTGTGTCCTTGTAAGGTGGCTCGACACTCCCAGTCATCATCTTCCTCTTTGTAAATGCAGATGTTGTTGTCGTAGCTGGCTGAAGCCAGGAGCTGAGGTGACAAATCAAAGGTTAGATGATGACAGAGCACCAGACTGAGATTTAGGTCCACAGTTTGGCCTACCTCTTGGTTCGGGTGCCATGCGACATGCTTTACGTCTTGTGTGTGGGAGTTCACAACTGTAACACACTCGTACTCATCTTCCTCATCCACTGAAGCACAAGGAATAGTTCAAATATCAGCTAAGACCCACAGTTAATTTGTCAGCAATGTAAAGAAACACAAACCTTCCCAAACCCAGACGCTCTTGTCTCGGCTACATGTGGCCAGGAGGTTCCCCGAAGGAGCCCACGCCACACATTTAACCTCATTTTCATGTCCTTCCAACACCGTCAAACTCTAGAAGACAGATCCAAATGTGTAACAAAGTCCACAATCTAAAAAAATAAATCAGTCTAAACAAGAGAAGTCTCATCTAACTTCAAAGTCGTCATTTTTCTTCTTCCAGATGCATGTGGTTGCATCAAAGCTGGCAGAGGCCAAGAAGTTCCCACACGGAGACCAGGCCACCTTCCTCACGGTGCGCTGGTGTCCATCCAGGAGCACAGTCTTACACACCCAAGAGTCACCTGCAAAGAGTCGAGAGTGATTTCATCATTTCACTACACAAATCATACTGAGATAATTCTTTAATTAAAGCCTTTACACATTGTAAGAGCATCATTAGGAAATATGACCTGTAATAAATGATACATTTACAAATAGAAAACTAATACTGTACTATACATAAATGTTTCTTAACCATTAATAGGTTTTCCTACACAAGCACAGAAAACGTGACAAAATATGTAAACATGATGTCATAAATAAATAGATGGATCTAGTTTAAATAGAAAAAGATATTAAATATTTCAAAAGCAAGAAAACAAACCTTTTGAGTGTGTCTAACAATGGCTAGTTCATCTGGATGGTTTCTTCTGTTGCTGAGACGTTTCGTCCTTCATCCGAAGGACTTCTTCAGTCCGAGGAGCCACCAAAGCAAACTGAGTCACACAGACAGCGCAGTACTCCCAGTGTGGGGAAAAAACCTGTTTGCTGGTGATAAGATGGGCTCCTCACTGAAGAAGTCCTTCGGATGAAGAACGAAACATCTCAGCAACAAAAGAACCCGTCCAGATGACCTGACTGAACATTGCTGGATTTATACCTGGATTCATGAGCATGACCTTTGGTGTTTTGTGTGTCAGGTGAGCATGACTGAACTTTCAGAGTGCAGTTGTCACTCAGGTAATTTTTTGCTCACCTTCGAGTCCCCATATCCGGACGGCCTTGTCACCCCCGCATGAAGCCAACAGGGTCCCGTTCGGGCTCCAAGCGACGAACCAGCACCGAGAGTCCGGGTGTGCGCTGATCCTCTGAACCAGTGTCAGAGCCTCCTTCATGGCTGAGACCAAATGTCAAGCACCCCGCGCCGCACAAGTCTCGTCACTTCGGTCCTTTACCTTCCGAGAGAAAATGATAACATTCAGCTGCGCCACGGTCCAAAACACCTGTCAGTATAGGAGAAATTGATGTGTTTTTACGCCAGCGAACAAATTAGGAAAAGTTTACGGAAACATTTATAACGGATGTGCCGCCATATTTGCTATACGAAGTTGCACGCGTTGCATTATGGGTACCCACCTTCTTCTGGAAAGTGACCCAAGTATTTGCAGCTGCTTTGAACTGTTAAAGTATAAAAGGAAAAAAAAAGCTAAAGGTAATCGCGCAAAACTGAGTGATATTGTGTTCATAGATTACACGTTTTGGGTGAGTCACCCATAGACATTAATACGTATTAATGTCTACGGGGTCTCACAACCACTAGATGGCAGTAACGATCAATCGGGCGCTCGTGAGCACAACGCCCACTGAAGCCACGAAGAAGAGAGGTGGGAACAGGAAGTCATTGCTTTAGAGAAAATTAGCGTAGGCTGTCCTTTGTTTTGTGTTAGTTTTTCTGTACCAAAGTTATTCTATTTTTATTTATTGTATATGTAAATATTAGTTTTAAGGTTAACGTTTATAAAATATATATTTATTAGTTTTATTAGGGTCCTAAGAATTTGTTATTTTCGGCGTTTATTCTTAGTTAGCTTCACAGGCTAGCAACACAGCTAACAGGCCTGAAGGCCATCTGTCTTGCTTCCTTGTCAGTTAGAAACCGATTTTCTGAAGCAGTTTTATTTTTTTCGTTTGGAAATTCGATATAAGTGAACAGGGCGCCCGGACTACTGTCATCCATTCGTCTTCCAGGTAATCGCAGCTGTACCGACTAACAGGCTTGGCTACTTAGCGAGGCGGCCATACAGATACGGGAGTGACCGGGGAAGACTACCACCTCCCAACAAAAACTATAAGGATTTGATTAGCACCATGTATGCTCCGCCGGGTTCAACTGCACCTGGAGGCCGGAGGAGAAGAGTGGGCACTTCGCTGCCCAAGCAGCCGGAGCGGAGCCTAGTGTCGGCGCTGCCCGGAGCTTTGTCCATCACAGCGCTGTGCACGGCTCTGGCTGAGCCCGCCTGGCTACGTGTTCATGGGGGTACCTGCCCCAGGCAGGAGCTGGGAGTTGCGGATGTCCTGGGTTACATTGATCCCAAGCTTTTGGACGGTGAGGATCAGCACAACATAACATTAGTGGTATGAAGAATGATCTGTTGGCTCATTTGTAATGTGCTTTGGGTGTTTGCCTCTACAGATTACTGCATGAACCCGCAGACCGTCCTGCTGCTGAGAGTCATCGCTGCTTTCTGTTTCCTGGGCATCCTGTGCAGTCTAACTGCTTTTTTGTTGGATGTATTTGGACCCAAACACCCTGCACTGAAGATCACTCGTAGATATGCTTTTGCACATATACTCACAGGTACAAGCCTACAGTGCTTAGGTTATTCCTTTTTTAATTACATTTTTTGACAAAACGATTAGCAAAACTTTACTGGTTTAACTTTGCTCTCTTTCGTTCCAGTGCTGCAGTGTGCCACAGTCATAGGCTTTTGCTATTGGGCCTCAGAGCTGATCTTGTCACTCCAGCAGCAGCATAAAAAATACCACGGCTCTCTCATCTATGTCACATTTGCCATCAGTTTCTACCTGGTGGCAGGTGCCGGCGGAGCGTCCATCCTTGCCACTGCTGCTAACCTCCTTCGCCATTACCCCACAGAGGAGGAAGAGCAAGCTTTAGAGCTGCTTTCGGAGATGGAGGACAGCAGCGAGACTTTTCCAACTGATTATGACATTGCCAATCAGTTTCAACCACCACCTGCCTACACACCCTAATCCCACCAGACTGGCCTTGCAAACGTTTCTCTCAGCTCAGCTATTTGCTTTGTGTGCGAACAACACTCTATCAAATGGATACCTTCGCAAATACTCGTGGCAATGAACACAGTGTGTGCACAGCTGGTGCACAGCTTCCTTGAATGACAGTGCTTGGGTGCATGAAATCTTTAGTGGTGGTGGCAATTTAGGAGATAATTCTTACTTCCACCGCTGGAGTGGTTAGTGATTTGCATGTAAATGGCTTTTAGGGTCCGGTCTTTACATGTAAAGATAAATAAACTGCAGAGTGTTATCTGTGCTCAGCTGAGGAAGCAGCCACAGCCTGATCTGTGCTGTTGAATTAAAAGCGGTCGGAAAGTGAAGCGATTGGACTCGGGTGGAGCTTTGTGATTTAATTTGATGTACTTGTGTGTCTTCTTTTTCTTGATGCAACTTAAATGCAGAGCTATGTGTACACTGACAGGTTTGTTTTAAACATTTATTTTATAAAAAAAAAATATCAGATGGACCTTATTTATTGTATGTGCTGTCTTTTTATGTTTGTTTTCCTTCTGTTTGTACACATCAGTCACTGGTGTAGTTTCATCTCTATTAGAAATACTACAAACATTTATAAAAGTGTGGGGCGTGTGTGCGTGTGTGTGCACAAAAGTCTACAGTATGTGTTGTGAGCTGGTGGTCATACAGAAAATTGTTTTTTTCCAGCAACAAACCTCACGCATAAGTTAGTTATGTCATGTTAATTGTATTTAATTAAAAACAAATCTTGTTTGTATTTTGTGAATACCATAAAATGTCATGAGTTTTAATTGTACTTTTTTTTAGATTCGATCAGAATCTTGTGTGACGTTCCCACATAGTGTTCCTGCTGAGGGTTGAGTTTGTGGCTGAAGTGATTGTTGTCGGCTTTAAATTGATTGTTCTGTTTTAAGTCATTTTCTACGTTTTGTCCTTCACTAGTTTCTTCACCTGGGTGTAAATAACCATTGTTTATACAGAAAGTGGCCATAATAAAATAAATGCCATATATACTCTCTTGCTATTCATCTGTAACTTGGCAGATTTTATTTTTTACTTCTGATTTCTGCTAAATGGAGCTTGTCGTTTTGCTCTAATAGCAACTTTTTCCATCCGTTCAAGATATTTCTGGGTTTGCCGTCTAGACGCAACAAGGCATTACGGAGAGTAAGAGCCTTACAACCTAATGGACTTTAAAGGGCATATGGTATGCCACTATGGCTGTATAATGGTGTGCACCGTTTCCTAATGAATGCACCCCATCAAGTGCCAGGTCTTAATGGGTTAGGATAGTAACTGAAGCTGAAGTTTCTCTTTGTGGCCAAATGACTTAAGGTAATCAGAATTAACGTGGTATTATTAGGGAAGGGTGTTCAAGAAAGGAATAAGTCAAGACGTGGCAAGACAATGGAGCTTATGTGGGAGTGTCACTTGGCCGTGCTCTGGTGGTATATATACGGGCATGCTCAGTGAGATCAATGTCTGCTCCGTCAGAAGTCTTCACAAGCTCTTAGCAAACTCTCCTAAAACATATACTTAAGCAAAACCATGCTGGCAACCAGGACTTTGCTTTCAAAGAAAACTCTGGCCATTCTTTCTCGCCAGCCAGCCTGCTTCGTTCATCAAGGTGATTATGGCAACTGGGGGAACACCAACATTGCAGTGGTAAGTTACCTCATCTGTATGTGGTCAGGGACAAGAAGGTGATGATTGTGGCAGCGTTGTCATTCTGTGCATCGATGTGCTCCAGGTTTTCTCAGGATGCGGATGGTGGGATGGAACTGACGTCCACGAAGGGGTGTAGTGAGTATTAAAAATCCAGATTTTCACACCTTTTTTGCACAAATACATCACCTTACTGAGATGGTGAGTGACTACTCTTCTCCTCAGCACCATGTACCACCTGAGCCGAAACGGTGCTCGCTTCCAGATGTTTGCTCCCAACCAGCAGCAGATGCATGTGATGGACCACATGAAAAAGCAGCCTGCCTCTGGCGAGAATCGGTAGGGACCACATGGGCTCACGAGATGGGTCTGACTTGACACTTTCTGCAGGGTAGTGCTTCTGACTGTGTTTGGCCATCAAACAGGAACATGATGATGGAGTCGGCTCGCTTCAGCCACGGTCAGGGGAAGATGCAGATGCAGGACCTGTCCACGCTGGATGCCAACAGCTTCGACGCCGTCATCTTCCCTGGAGGGCATGGAATCATCAAAAACCTGTGAGGAACACTGAGTCACTTGCAGAACGAAGCAAAATGAAATAAATAACAGGTACGATCAAACATGTCACTGATTGCAAAAACTCTTGAACCCTTAGCTCCTCTTTTATGAAGGACGGCAAAGACTGCAAGCTGCACAACGATGTGGAGAGGGTGCTCAAAGAGTTCCATCGTTCACACAAGCCTATCGGGTATGAATCATTTGCTTTATGTTTATCCAAACATGCACATTTTTAACACAAACATGAGGACTAATTGCATTTATTGTCATGACACTGGGAGATTTAAAGCCTTCTAATAGAATTAGGACACTAAGAAGAAGAGAAGCTGTAAAAAGTCACACTGAATGTTGAGTGACACCTTCACTCACAGCAGATGATGAGAAATAAAACGATGCACGTGCGCTGTAGGTTTAAGTTCGCAACATTATAATCTTGTATTTTACTTGTTTGTTTATGTAGCATCATTTTATAAAATGACCCTGAACACTTGTGCCTCCTAAAGTTTTGTAAGCCAATTAACAGAGCTTACTCCAACCCAAAGCTTCTCAACATCACTTTGTTTACACAAGAAAATCTGATTATTTTACGACCCTGAAACTAAAGCCAACAGGTCCTGACGAATATAAATGTGTTGAACTGTTAGAAAAACGTGTTGATGTCAGAAGCTGTGAGGTGAAAGTGTCATACCAGCTCTCGCAAGACAGCAGGCAGGACAGGTGGAGTAAAAATAGCCTTGAACGCGTTTAAGCCCATGATGTGAAAGCAGGCAAATCCTTTAAAGCAGGTAGGACAAAACAAAACACACCCGAGACAAGCTGATGTGATCTGATAGAAACGACTGACGCTGGCCGGATGGATGAGCGGCTGGGAGGGGTGGGAGCCTGGGATAAGTGCAGGTGAAAGGTCGTGGAGGTGTTAGGCGAAGGATGGAAGATTCCAGATGGAAGGCGATGTGGGATTACAGGATTTACTGGGAAGAGTGGCGCAGGATGCTGAGGAGATAGAAGTGGCAGTCACCATGACAACCAAAGGTTAAAGTGTCTGCTGACCTCTCCCCTACATCGAAAGGAGATTAGAGACTCGTTCACTCCTAGAAAGAGTGACAGAGTTTTTCCATTTAAAACAGAATACACCAGAAAGATCTTTGTGGCACCAGTTGGGTCGCTGACGTTACCAGTAGGAAATCAAGAAGACTGGAAATTGAGTCTTATTGTGTTATTTGTTGTTTGATGATTGTTGCAGTGAAACTCAAACATGTTCAAAGAGTTTTCAGTTGAAAGCGAGACGTGAGCCTCCTATCAATTAAAACTGTTTTTGCAGGTCATCACCTCACATTTCTACACACTTCACCACCGTTCAGGTTTTTCATTTTGTTTAAGTTTTTTCCTCAAACACACATATGTGTATGTTTTAACCAACACGTCCCCACCTCTCACTCCTGTCCTTGGAAAAGACCAGTTCGTACCTAAACACGACCTTTTTATCTACTGGAATTATTCGATGTTTAGTCTGCTTGGCTCTAATTTGTTTCTAATCTGCTTTGCGGAACTGAATCTGCATAAATTCACGACTGATTTTCCTTCGGTCCTGATCTGTGGGGACTGAGGTGATGGGCAGCTGCTGTGTGGACTTTTGACAAGGCCGGGTGAAAGGTCACTGGGTGAGAGGTGAAGAATGGAAGCTTCCAGATGGAAGGAGAAGTGAGATTACAGGAATTTCAGGAAAGAGTGGAGCTGGAAGCTGGGGAGGAGGTGAAGCAGTGGTCGCCATAGCAACAGGAGGTTAAATAATATGACGACCCCTGTACTTCATCTAAACGAGGGTAATTTATAGCTTTTCATGCCTGAATGAAGTCTGAGACAATGGTTTTCTATAGTGAATGAAAATATAGAAATAAATAAATAAATATAAAATTAAATTAATGTATGCAGCACATTTAAAGTGCACCTGATCTAAATGCTTTGCATTAAAAGCTCATAAACATTAAAATTAAGTACAAGCAGCAACTGAGGCATTTTGAAAAAAATATATGATCAATTAAAATTAAGTTACTTCAATAGATTAAATACCATCCATCCATTATCTTTACCCGCTTATTCCATTTTGGGTCACGGGGGTCGCCGGTGCCCATGTCCAGCAATCACTGTGCGAGGGGCGGGGTACACCCTGGACAGGTCGCAAGTCCATCACAGGGCCACACAGAGACAAACGAGACAAACAACCATTCACTCTCTCACTCACACCTAGGGACAATTTAGAGTTACCAATCAGCCTAACATGCATGTTTTTGGTCTGTGGGAGGAAACCGGAGCACCCGAAGAAAACCCACGCATGCACGGAGAGAACATGCAAACTCCACCCAGAAGGCCCCTGGACCAGGGTTTGAACCAGGGACCTGCTCGCTGAGAGGCAGCAGCTCTACCAGTTGTGCAACCGTGCTGCCCACAGATTAAATACCAGTTACCAAAAAAAAAAAACACCAACATATTTGAATGTTTTTTGAAGCCAAGGTGAATAAATAAGTTTTAAATAGTTTTTTGAAAGTCTTATATTTTCTGATGTTTCTACCTAAATCACGAGGACTGACTGAATTCAGCATCCTACTTGTCTTACATTTCATGTGCATTGCTGCTAATTTTCTAAGCTGATGACATTAAAGAAATATAAGGAAATAATATAATCTTAAACTCATCTTATTTGCCAGTAAAGCTGCACTGAATGTGAATGATTAGACATTTAGTTTCAGTTCACAGTTTATAAGTTTATTACACTTTTTAAATCTAAAGTCATTTGCATCTGCTCACACAAGGAATTTTTACATTTTCTGATAATCATTTTAATATTTCATTGAAGTGAGGACAGCTTTTCTCCTGTTTATGTGACTGAAGGCCCCTGAGAGCCTGTTACATTATTAATGGACCTCAGTATATGAGGTGGTTTACATGAGACTGTTTGTCTTCTCCTGTTTCAGATTGTCCAGCATGGCTCCTGTGCTGGCCTGTCGCGTGCTGCCCAGCATTGAGGTGACAATGGGCTATGAACGAGACGAGAACACCCGCTGGGGGAACTGGCCCCACACAAACATGGTGCAGACTGTGAAGAGCATGGGCGCTCGCCACAACGTCCGCGAGCCCTACATATCCTTTCAGAGCCCCCTGTTCACTTTAGATGTGACTTAAATGTGACCATTTTCTCAGTTTTGACCTTAACACTTCCTTTTCACGAGGCCTATGTGGACGAGAAGAACAAAGTGGTCAGCACTCCATCCTTCATGTGGGACACTGATTACCACTACCACTACATCTTTGATGGGATTGGAAATATGGTCAAACACGTCATGCGTATGTCGACCAAGTGAGGCTGGAAATAATGAATGTTGATATCGACTCAGCATTCACCTCTGTACTGTAATGAAATCCTACCTGAAAAATAAAGCTGCTTTAGTGAATGAGCGTGTGGTTTGTGTTTTATTGACGTTTAACAGCTGTGGGGAAACCTGATGATGCTTCCACTGACGGACACTGTAACTGTAAAACATCTCATGATAAGATAAGACTTTATTATTTCAAGGGAAATCCAGAAAGATTCAGGAGACTCAGATGGTAGTTCTTACAAATGTCTCATTCACAGACAAATATGGCTGTCTCTATGAAAAGGAGACACGAGGTGAGATGTTCATACAGGAGCTGCAGCGACGGAAGACGGGATGAATCCATGTTCACAGCGGTGCTTAAGGGTTTATGAACACGACAACTGTAATAAAATAAAAAGATAAGAATACGAACAAAACAAGTGCCATACCAATGCCCCTGTCGCCGAGGGATTTGATTAGTGAATGTTTGTACTTTTTGAGATGAGTGTTTTTCTGGACTGGAACTGAACAGGGAATGCACAGTAAACCTTCAAAGATTTTCAAGTGGGTAGGAGTTACACTCTTAAGAACAGAGGTAGTTTTTTTTTGCTATGTCTAAGCCAGCACAGAATGACGGACCCTGGTGAGCGAAGGGAGCAGCTTTATCCCCTCCAGGGGCAGAGCTAGAGGGTGGCCAATGGTGGCCATGCCCACCATAGATTAATCTTCAGCCACCCCAATCATTTGAGGAAACTTACTTTTAAGCAATATAAAAACTAGGGGTGCACGGATAAATCAGCCGGCCGATTTATCGGCCCCGATTTTAATTTTGAGAAATCGTCCGATACTTGCATGAGAAATTGATTTTATCAGATTTTTTAAATTTTAACAATTGTCTAAACTTCATTTATATTTCAGAGCACTACCTCATGGCCAGTTAAAATAAGTTTGTCTTGTTTCTAAGATGTTGTTCAAGGTTTTTTTATACCTACCATACACCAAAAGGGAAGTTGGTACCACATTTATTTTTAATGTTACCACACTCACATATACAGGTAGACAGATGAACAGTGAATCTCCAATTCCCCCATTTTGCTCTGTGGCGGGGGACAATAAGGGGGTTAATATTGTAACATTTAGTCATTTAATTTTTGAGGAAAATAAATAATACAAAGGTGCATTTTGTCAAGTAGTAAAACCACATTAAATTCAACTTTCCGTTTAATCCCTTTTGCAACTAAACATTTTTATGTCTGCAATGTTGGCTGGTTTGCAGTAAATTATCATCTGGTCTTAATCCATAACTTTACTCTTTAAAAACATTTTAAAGACTAAATTTGATTTAGATAATCACATCAAAATACAACTTATGATACCATCACATTAAACAGATCTACTTTGATGCAGCTTCCTTTAAACATTTTACTCAAATCAAAACTGAACGAACCCTCAATATTTTTAGCACTAAAAAAAAGTTTATAGACCTTAATCTTTGAACATAATTTATATTTTTGTTACATTTTATACCCTAATAATGAACTTCAGGAGAGTTGTGTGTGTCATGATACAATTTAGATCTGCTGTAACAAACTTGAGAAATCCCTGTAGATAAAACAATCAAACCTGATATCACTGACTGAACAACTGAATTAAATTCATGCAAATTATTTCTGTCTCACGTAAAATTGGGTTAGTTTTTATTAAACGTATGGAGAAATATAAAAACATAAACTTTTAGGCAGTGCTGCGCTTAATTAAAGCAGAATACCTGCACAAAATCTATAAACTCAGTTTGATGCATTCAGAATAAAACAGTTTATTAATTACAAACATATAAAAATGACAAAAAACTAAAAACACGGGGCGAGATATAAAATTTTCCACTTTGTACAGAGCTTCCAAAACCATCGTCAGAGAAACGTACTCAACATGAAGGAAACATAAGTAAAAAACAATACAAAAGCTTGACTTTTGCCAAAGCACAGCTACAAAAACATCCTTGCTTCCAGGTAATGTACAAAAACAGCTTCTGGTATGGTCAGTAAAAAAACACACAGCAGGCTAACGAGCACAAACTTCATAACAGACTTCACGTACAGAATCAGAAGCCGATGAAATATTCACAGTGTTGCCTTCACATCAGGGATGTGAATTGTAAACATTGTTGCATAACGTCATTCATCTCAATAAATACACAGAAATACTAACAATGTGGAAAAAGGTATGGTATAATCTGTAATCAGTTGTTCTGTTTGCTCTGGAAACTATCAAAAATAAGGCAAAATTCATTTTATCTGGTAAAGTTGGACTGACTCAAGCAAAGTCAAAGCATTTTCTTACCTGATGAATGAGGAATTTACATCCGCAGGATTCATTCACAATAAACTATATATAATAAACATTTGTACATTTTGCACAAATACTGACAGAATAACTGGTCGGAGAGCGGCTATGGAACAAGAAATGATTCCACGTACATCACAGCCTGAAATAAACTCTTCTTCTATATAAACTCTTGTAGTTTCATCAAACTGCTGCATTAAAGTACAATTATTGGAGTTCTAAAATCTGGTCCTAAAGTAGCCAAATTTAAATAAGAGGTACATGGAGAACATCTTGAGCACCATTTTTTTGAAATCACAAGCACCAATACAGATGTAGACACTCTCACAGACGTCACTCTCGGACAAAACCTTCAGAAGCCTCTTTTAAATGACTAAAAGGGAGTCAGCTGCCGCTTTTATAAAGCAGATCTTTCTCAGCTACGAACCTTTTTGTTGTCACCTTGAGCATTTTATTTCTGATTGTCAAAGTTAAACAAAATCCCAACACACAATGACAGCTGTTTCTTAGAAAAATATAGTAAAATAAGACTTCAATGCTTCATTATGCAAATAAAATAGCAATTATAAGACAAACAAGTGATGATGGATGCAACGTTTAACAGTGTTGTCTCTAATCTTCTGTAACGGAGAAATAAAAACTTCAAAATGTTTCCAGTGTCCTCGACCTCAGTGCTGCCCTCAGTTCAATAGAAATGGTAACCTGTCTTAGATGTACCTGTGAAACAAAAAAACAGCAGAACTTTAGTGAAGGTTCCTTTTATAAACAGGCTGAGAAGCATTTAGACGTGCATGAATTCACAGCATGTGCAGCCACAGGCAGGAAATAAATCAAGCAGGCGAGCAGTGAGAGATGGAAAAAAAGAAGAAGAGGAAAACGGTGGAAGGGCAGGAAGAGTAACGGACCGAGTTCAGCTAGAGCAGCGCTGAGCTGGAGTCAGAGTCTGAATCATGGTCGGGGCTGACGCGGGGACCACGGGAACACATGGACGCCTGAGCCCGTCTGTACTCTTGGTACTCCAGGCGGAGAGCGTTGAAGCGCGCTTCGCTTAACGAGACACTGGACTCGCAGTGAGGAGGGCTGGGAACTGGTGGGCTGACTGGGGGAGATGGGCCTGGAGGGGGGTATCAGGGACAGGAAAGGCGTGGGTGGGAATGTCATGGGATGAGCGTACAAAAATCACAGCACGAAAACATGCCGCCAGGTGTTACAGCTGCATGCAACATTTAACAAGAAGTACAACTCGAACACGTGGGAAATGTAAAATCACCTTTCTGTTGCTGATCCCGGAGGCCAGCAGCTTGGTCACATCGAAGATCCCCCCGCCCTCTACGAAAACCCATTTGTGATGGACCAAACCTGTTGGCCTCCAGGACCTCGGAGTCCACACAGGCATCAGCAGAGTCCCACTCATAACTCTCATCTACTGATGTGTTCCTTCTAACGAGATACACAGAACACGGTCAGACAACAAGAACCACAAACACTGACATAATGTTTTTGGCAACATGAATAAATCCATGAAAAAACAAGTTGCTCCAGAGTGTCTGTCAGTCCAGGTGTGGTGGTGTTTCACCTTTTCACTCTCCTCCTGGGCAGCTCCATCTCAGCCCTGTGCCGCTCGTGTTCCTCGGTGGTTTCCGGGGAGCTGAGCAGCGTGGGCGTGACGGACAACGACTGTCGGAGGAGACCCGCGCTACCTCTACCGCTGCTCTGACTGGCGTAACTGGTCCTGCCCCCATCCCTGAGCTCATAGTCTCCGCTCCGCCCCATCGTCCTGTCTGGATGTCGGTAGCTTCCTTCCTCTCTGGGGGGGAAGGGGGAGTAATAAGGAGAGGGCCAGCTGATGCCTCTGGGCAGGTAGGACCTTGGAGGGCCTCTCCTGGAGTCCACAAACCTCAGGCTTTCTCCTCTGGGTTCTGACCAGTGCTGGTAGTGGGGCAGAGGGATGGAGGTGGACATGGGTATATATTGATGCTGGGTGGACCTAAGAGGGTCCCGATAAGAAGGAGACCACCTGGAGGACTCTGGGAAAACAGCAGCCTGCTGTCGTGGATCTGGGGGCTCCATCATCGGAGACACTGAGGTTGATCTGGGCGGGTACATAGTTGGAGTGAGGTAGGAGGATCTTTGTGCGTGATGGGGCCTCTCTAAGCTCCCCATGCTGGGACGCCTAAATGGGACGTACTCTCTCCAGCAGGGGGCTGGTCTGGGGAGGGAAGACGGCATTCGGCCCAAACTGTAAGACTTCATGGGAGCATCTAGGTTTGGGAATTCATCCCAGTAACAGTTCTCTGAAATGTACGTCCTCGGGTTCTCAAAGTGCTCCCACCTCTGCGAGCCTAAACTGATGGACTTCTTGAGGAAAGGACGAGGCTGTCCTACACCTGAGAGGGTCCTGCAGGGGCCCAGGCTTAAGGATTTCTTTAGAAATGGCACAGGCGCTTGATTTATTCGTGACACAATCTTATTAGTCCTGCTTCCCTGAGAAGCTTGTCTTTGGGGTTGCTCCGATGGAAACTCACTTTTATCTAAAAAACCCGGCGTGTGTTTCGACACGATGTCAGCCATGCCTTTAGCTGCACTGACCAACGTGTGAGCTGACCTGGACCCTAGTCTGGATTCAGGCCTGCCTGTGCTATTATCACCAACTCGAGTTTTCAATTTCTCATCATAGATCTGCTTGCTTGTTTTTTCCAAACAAGGTGAGGCTGGTCTGGCGTCATCTGGGAATCTTACTCTAGTTTCCACATGCGAGGATCGTCTATGGCCTTGTTTTTTGCTAACATTGATGCTGCTTTCTGCAGCGGCTACAGATTCATTTTGTGCTCGGCTCGAGACGGGCACTGGCTTTTCCTGCACGTGAACTTCCCAGTTTCTAGGGACTACATCGGGTTTAGCCACTACAGATTTTTCTGGCTTCAGTTCTGAACTTTGTCCAGTCGTATCTGTCTCTGGAACCTCTTCCACTGGCTCATCCACACTCATTTCAATGAAACCTGGAAGGCTCAGGTATTCAAGAATTGCACTTGTCTGGTTTGGGGACATTTGTGGGGATGGGGCAGCAGGCTTGGCCTTGAAGGAGTCTGACATTCTAGGGACAGAAAACTGAGACTGGTCACTCTCGACTTCTTCTACGAACGTTAATGTTGAAACAGGGCTAGGACTATCAGAGAACAGACATTTGTCACTCCTTCTAGATCGTGTTCGAACGCCTTCCCTCTCTAACTCTGAGTAAAAACCTAAACTGCATCGATCTTCCTGCTCCTGAGTCTCTCTGTCTTTGGCCTTCGCTGATGCTTCATGATGTCTATAGTTTAGATTAGAAGAATTGGAAGGACTGAAATCCCGTTTGGTTGCGCCTACTTCTGAAGTTCTCCCAGTCTGGTTAGATGGTGCAGAAGCTGAACATTCAGGCCTCTCGTCGGTGGCTGAAAAACTTCTTCCGGATGAATCGAGGACCTGAGTGCCAGAAGGAGCAGGTGGAATTTTAGATTTTAAAACAATACCTGCACTTTGTGGCTTTTCCTTTAAGCTCTGCTCAGTGTTGGGTTTCACATGTACATCAGACTTTTTCTGAGAAGATGGTGACTTTGCTCTGTCAGGTGTTTCTAGGTGGAGAACAGAAGTTTCAGAGGTGATGTTCGGGGACAGCGTGCCGAGGGAGGTGTTCTGGGTGACCGGCGATTGTAATGAATCCACAGCCAGGGAGTCCTCTGTGGTTTCACTAGACAGCCCAGGGGATGAGGTCTTATGAGGGCTTTGAACAGGAATGAGGCTGGTGACAGATGTGACAGGGCTAATGTCCCACTGTACACGAGCTGTAGGAAGCCGATCCAAAGGACTGCTGGTGCTGCCAAAGTAGCACGCCCTCCTGTAGTCAGATACTTGATTTGTCACACCTGAGGCCCTGCTTTTCTGCCTGATCGTGACATCTTGAGGCTTCCAAACAGGTTCTCCCTCTGATTTAGATGCATCCCTTTGAGGGCTTTTCGTTTGACTTGGATGCGTTTCTTTTCTCACTCGACTCAGATGTCTTTGATCAGCTGCATAAGTTTTTAACTCCTGTTCAATTTCTTCTCGTTCTTTTGCCAAATGGGCACACTTGTTTACACTTTCCCTCTCCAGCTCGCTCTCAAGCTGTGAGACCAGGGTGCTGTTATCAGTCACATCGCTCTGATTAGCTTGGTACCCCGGATGATACGACCTGTCTCTGTCAAGAAGCTTTGTTCTCCTTCCTAAACTGGAGAACAGATCTTCGGTGTGGCCAGGCATGCAATACCTCCTCAGAGAATCGCTGTTTTTTCTCTCACTGTTATCTGAATAAAAGCTGACTCTCTCCAAAAGAGTTTCAGATCCTTGTTCATCGTCAGAGTAAAAGCAGCCGCGGCGGGAGAAGTTTCTGGCCATGGCTCGTACTCTTCCTGGTGAAGCAGGAGGCCTGCTCAGCTCTGGTACGTCCACGGCGAGAGGAGACTCTTTCCTCTCGTCCTTTTCTGAACTCCTGATGCTTGACTTTGGAGAATCTCGGAATGACGACCTGTTGCTCCCTGAACCATGCACGCTACCGTTACTTAGCAGGACGTCTGTCTTAAGATTCTTCTTACTAGAGGGGCTTGAACTCTGTGGCAGCGGCTGAACAATAAAGCGTCCATCTGGCCCTCTGGAAATGGACTCTAGGGCAGTTGGTGAAGGCGCCTGGGAACCCAGGTGGCTTTCAAAAAGAGTGTAATGAGGTGGTGGAGACGAGTTGGCCAAAAGTTGCTTCCTCTGATCGTGGTATTCCCCACGGCTGGCTTTATCAAAGGAGGACCGATTGAACTGTGAACAGGTGGAGCTGGGAAAGAAGGGAAGAGGTGGACAAAGCTTCAACTTGAGGACGCTGTCTGGGCTGCGTGGAGGTGAGCGAACTCTGGAAACACACAAACACAAAAACTTAAAACATGGAAAATAAATACCATAATGGAATATTTGAGCAGTAGTTCTATAAAAACCCTGTAAAATATCACACCAATATAAATTAAAACCAGAGCTGTGAAACTGATTCATAAAGTGCAAGCTGTTAGAAACAAAGTACGAGTGGAGAAAAATATTAAGTAAATTCATCACTTACTCCTGAGAAGGGCTCTTTTGGAAAGCAGATGGCATGTCTGTAAAAATGCAAGACGATAATTAAAACGTAGTACAGGTAAAACTGTTCCGTCCTGTGTGTGGTAATGTGAACAAAAACTATACGACCAATAAAGAAAAAAACTGCACATTTGACCTTGTCTTTTCTTTCTGCGTCTCTGCTGTTTCCTGTGACTCATGTAGCATGCCGTCACCAAAGAAAGGACGATGGCAAGAAACAGGAAGCACACTCCTCCGATCACACCAGCCAACAGCGGTTCAGGGATGACCTCTAAGAAACTTGGGCGGAGGGAGTAAACCTCCATTCCTGTAATCAAACCGGAGTCTATAATAACTAAATCTATTTCGAATAAACGATGTTGTAAATGTCCACTAACATCCATGCATGGGACAGTGATGTTAAATCAAACATACCTGTTGTGGATACACTCACAGACCTGCTCGGTTCACTGAGAACTTTGTAGCTGCAGGACATCAGCCTCAAATCATAAGTGGCATCCTGAGAAAAAAGCAGTTTATGAGTTTGATTAAATTATTAACTTTCCTAGGATGAGCTTCTTATATTACAAGAAGCGAGCAACATTACCCTGAACAGTCCTTGCACGAGTAGTTCACTCTGATTGGCACTGATGTTGCTGTTATGAATGACCCACTGACCCTGATCCAACCGGGCCTGCAGCACAAAACCTGTCAGTGGAGAAACTGGAGCCTCGGGAGGCAGCCACTGTAGGAGAACCCCTCGTTCAGTCCGATTAGCTGACAGAAGTATTGGGGGACCCAGGGCCAGGAGAGGAGTGATGACTTTAGGGGACTCTGTAGGCACAGCTGAAAAGACACAAGGTGATTTTTATTATGAGCAGAATAACGTTAGAATGAACAGGTGAAGCAGAACATATGTTCTCACACAAACCTTTTGTTCGCACTGATACAATTTCACTAAAAGGTCCTGAGCCGAGTTTATTCTGAGGTAGGACGCTAAACTGGTAGCCAGTGCCAGCAAGCAGCCCGGTGACAAGCAGGTAGTTTTTGGATGTTGGCACTGGCAGAGACGCCCATTCATGTTTCCCCCTGGATGCTTGTTTGACCCTACAAAAGATGAATTCACGTCACGTTTCCTGACGTGGCTGATAAATGTGTCTTACTGTGTATTTTATGTGTCACTGACCAGACAGTGAACTTCTGAGTGAATCCACCATCGAAGCCTGGGACCCAGGACACGTTTGCCTGGTGCATTTCAGTGGTGACGTTCACCGAGGACACAACATGAGGACTGGTGCCTGAGAATCAAGGAAACACTTCAGCCAATTTGATTTGCTGACAGTACATGTCTACTAATAATAACAACACATCATACATGTTAGCAAAAATGAATTAATTAACTAATTAACTAATTGATGACTCACTCACCCAGCACAATGACCATGGTGACTGCACTGACAGTGGCCACACGGTTAGTAGCCAAACACTCCCAGCCTCCGTGTTGATCTTTGCTCAGCGGCTGCAGCAAGAGGGAGCCGTTGGACAACACAGTGTACGACGACCGAGGAGTAGGACCGATCTGAGAGCAAGGACAACCAGAGGTTAAAGAAAGGAATCAGTCAGTCGTGACTGAGGCTCTGTCAAAACAGAAAATGTATTACACCTTGCTCCAGGTTATATTTGGAGCAGGGTCTCCAATGGCTTCACAGGGGATGATCAACTCTCGGCCGACCTCCTGGAGATACTCTGGTAGAGGAGGAACTCGAAACGTTGGAGGGTCCTTAAAAAGAAAAGTCTTTTTTACTTCTCTGCAGAAGCAATGGATTTTGTTTTTCTATTTTAAGCGTGAGAGCAGTAACTTTACCTGCAAAATGACTTTAGTGGGCTCGGATTGGCCCATAGTGCCATAGCTGTTATAGGCAGTGCAGGTATACATGCCAACAGCATTGTCATTGGCTGTTGCTATAAAAACTGAACCCTCTGAGTTCACCATCCAGCCTGGAAACTAAACAGAGAAACAATTCATGTATTACTTCCTAGAATGTGGTGAAGGACTCCATAAAACATTTTGCAGCTTACGTTGTCAAGATTCAAATTATTCCCATCCTTGGTCCAGTTGACGTACAGAACAGGAGGATCGGCCTGAACAGGGCAGAAAATCACTCCCTCCATTCCTGCAGGCAGGTAAGTTTCCCGAGGCATTCTTGCCACACGAGCTGGATCTAAAGTGACAACGGAAGAATTATCCACAAAATATAACAGAAAAGATTATTAGTATCAGAAATAAAATCTTCCTCTGCAACCCTGAGCATGGTTATACAGACAGACTAACGTTTCACTTTTAGATGAGCAGAAGCTGAGGGCGGGGTCAATATTCCATTCGTTGGAATGCACGTGTAGTTCCCAGCATCTTCTGGGATTAGATTAGGGATCAGAAGAGTTCCATCCACCAAAATCTTCACTCTGGACTTCAGGGATCTAAAAAGCACAAAACAGAGAACGTGGAGCCGTTTAAGAAGAAATCAAACTGGATACGACGTCAAACCTTGATTTTTATTGCACAGAGGGAAGATTATTTGTAAAACGATGGGCATCACAGCTTAAGACAGCACGTTAATCTGAACAACAATCTTGTTTGCGTCAGGTTCACAGTGTGCTCACGATCACATGATGCAACTGTCATGGATAATCTTATTAGAGCTGGCTGAATTAGTAGCATGCTTTGGAAAAACACTGGCTTGATACCTTTAAATATTGATCTTAGATAGTTTTGTAGAGAAATGTACTTTGATGTGTTAAAAATCTTCATGATTTAAAATAAAAAAAACTGACTCACTCAATATGGTAAACGTTCTGTCCTTGCTTCAACCACTCATAGGTGAGGTTTGAAGGGTAGGCATCAGCCTGACACTGCAGAACTGCATCCTGGGACATGTTGAGGGTGGTGTCCTCGGGGGAAATGATGATGATCGGTGGACCTTTTTAGGATTAAAACGTAAATCAGTGGACTGTTAGTTTTAAACCAGTTCAAAGTAATGATTGAACTTTGGTGACGGTCGACACAACCATATGTTCAAATTCAAGTCTTACCAATTTACTTTATGAACCAAAAAGCTGTGTTGTTGTCTCTAACGTGAAATGAAAGCTGAACACTGACCTTGGACCTGGATCTGTGTAGAGTGGGTCAGGTTCCCCTCTGAGTTAGACACATGGCATTTATACACTCCTGAAAAGTTTTGTGTGACTGATCCCAGAGACAAGGTGCCGTTGAGCACCTACAAAGAAACGAGGGTAAAGAGTACGATGGTTAAAGACAAAGAGAAAAGAGGGACATGTAGGGGGCAACAGCAGACTGCTTCAAACAAGAACACATCTAACACCCTCGCACTTCTAATGAAGTACTGAATGAAGTATTTAATTAAATACTGCAGTGCCACCTGCTGATGTGCCTCACTTTTATTTTTTCATGTTTCTCTATTGGGCTCTCGTCTTTGTGCCAGACCACAGTCGGTCGAGGGTTGCCATGAGCTCCGCAGCTGAGAGTCAGAGAGTCTCCGAGCAGAACCTCCACAAAAGTTGGTGGTGTCATAATAAACAACGGTGGAGCTGGAACAAAACCAGGAAAACAAAATTAGAAAAAAAGAAAAAAAAAGAAAAGGGGAATTGAATCAGGAAGAGTGTTTTTCAAAAATATGTTCTTAAAAGGGGCAGCTAAAACACGTCACTGAGGTCCCTGCAAAGTTTAGAGTTATTGTCTGAACACTTATGAAGCATTCACACTAATGTGATCCATTTTTCAACTAAGTTTTTCTACGTTTCACGTCCGGCAGTTTTCAAACTATTTCAACAAATCATAAATCAAAACGTTCGGCTGTTTCAGGACAATCCTGCTCTGACTTTTGGTTTTGGTGTAACTTTAGCCTTTTGAAACATTTAGCCTTTTTTCCTCATAGAAAATGAATTGAGCTCATTTGACATCCTTCAGATCTTTAGATCTGTTTAAAACATTTCACTGCTCCGTTCACATTTTGTTCTGCTTCAGCTTCTTTCAGCTTCCTTGTGCAAATTTAAAAAAAATTTCCATCTACTTTCAGCTAATTTCTGCTGATTTGTGCTCCTTTCAGGTTTTTCTGTTAACTACAACATTTTTGTACTTCATCTAATTTCTTTCAGCTTTTTCTATTACTTCAGCTACTACAGTATATAGCTGTTTTATGATAATTTAAGCCTTTTCAGCTAATTCCACATTTTTTGCACTAATTTAAACATTTTCCAGCATAATCCAGCAAAAAAAAGTGCTCTCTCTGCCACCTTCTGGTAATTTAAGCTTCTTTCTGCCTTTTGAGCTACTTTTCAGGTGGTTTTATGTAAATTTCAACTTTTTTCAGATAGTTTGTCTTAATTTCTGCTTCTTTCAGCAAACATATTCTTTCTGCTTTCTTCTGCTAATTTAAGCTTTTTCCACCTTTTCAGCTACCTTTTTAGAAAAAGTCTTAGCTAATTTCAGCTGTTTTCAGACAGTCTTTTTTTTTTTTGTAATTTCTGCTACTTTCAGCCTAATTAGCATCTTTCAGTCTCATGACTCAAACTTTCAGAACAGACTCATGTTCATGCTGCTGTTCGGCATATTGTTTTTTTATACTACTAGTGTTTAGCGTATTTCTAGTTAACGTTTTTCTTAGTTCATATCTTAGATCTTATTACTGTTTTTCATTTACATTTCAGTACTTTTGTTGGATATAACTGGGACACCGTGTACACAATTTCGTTCCACCTCATGCACCACATGTGGTGCACATGACAAATAAAGAACCTTCAATCCTTTTGGCAAATTTAAGCTTGTTATGCTCCTTTCAGATGTTTTTTTGTTGTTGCTTTATCTGCTATTTCAGCTACAGCCAACATTTTTCAGTCAGGTCATCTGGACCGATGGAACTGTCCAGATGACCTGACTGAAAAATGTTGGATTGTATACCTGGATTATTGAGCATGGACTTTGTTTATTTCAGCTACAATTTAGCTGTTTTATGCTAAATTTAGGTTTTTCAGCTAATTCCACATTTGTTTAGCTCACTTCAGCTCTTTCCACTTCCTTCTAGTAGGTTGAGCGTCTTTCTGCCTTTTCAACTACTTTTCAGCAGTTTTTAGCCGATTTCCTAAATTTTGTGTTCATTTCTGCTTTTAAACCTAATTCAGCAAATATGTTCTTTCTGCTTTCTTCTGCTAGCTTAGGCTTGTTCTGTCATTTCAGCTATACATTTCACTGTTTTTAGCTAATTTCAGCTGTTTTTCAGCAAGTTCTTCAGCAATAAGCATCCACACTGCATTTTTGCAGGAAATTCAATTTTACTGGTTAATCTTATTAAAACGATGTCAAATTACATCAGAACTTTGTATTTTGTTGCACACTTGTCTGTTCAATACAACCTGTGAGATAATTTATTTTAAAACAGCACAGGATCACTGAACTGGACAACCTTCTATGAAAAATGTCACCACTGCTTGTATGCAACGCTCTGTGCTGAGTGTCTGTGGATTATTAAAGGCTCTTAGATAACAACATATGAAATTCAATACATGCAAGTTCTAACACAGGTGTGTACAAAACGGGTCAGCTGCAACCTGATGCAGCTTATGTAGGCCACATGTGTGAACCCTAAGAGTGAAGACATGTGAGATAAAAGCTTTGGGACAATTAGCGTCATTCACACATGCATTGACCGGGTCTTTACAGCAGGCCAAGCATAAAGATGTAAGCACCATATGGATCCAGTAACAACACACAGGAAATTCAGCCTTCACAGCTGCAGCCACGTTTCATGCTGTGATTGATCTAAATAAAGACGCCGCCGGTGATGTGCAACAAAATGAGCAGCTCCCACGTCCCCAAGACCCTGCAGTGCTGCACCTGTGATAGAGAGGAAGGTCCATGTGCCGTTCTGAAAGTCATCGGTTTTGCTGTCCAGGAGGAGGATGCGGCATTCGAACCAGCCCTCATCCTCCAGGGTGAGCCGTTCTATGAGCAGAGAGGCGCCCCGAGTCAGAGACACACGCCCTGTGGGAGGAAGGGTAAGGGTGGAAAAACAAAGAGGAATAAAAAAAAGGTTAAAACACACGAGCACACACACACACAAGCAGACAGGCAGAGTCAGCATGTGCAGGACAAGGGCTTATCATGCAGAGGACACAGACATTTACTGCCACAAAGGCCACAGTCGATCTGACGAACACTTGGTTGAGACAAATCCAAACACACAATGAAAACCAGCTGTAATTCTCATGTTTGTAGTAAATAAAATAGATTTATAAAAGCATTAGAAGTGTTGAATGAATCAAATCAAAATTAACTCTACAAACTTTAGCTTTTGAACAAAACAAAAATACATAAAATTGCAAAACCAAGCTTCCTCACAGCATCACAGTTATAAATGGACTGTACTCATATAGCACCTTTCTATCTGATCAAGACACTCAAAGCTCTTTACAACAATCTGTGCCTCATTTACCCATTCATACAGCACTCTACTAGATCTAGATCTATACAAAGCTAATTGAACAAATCATTCTAAAGAGATTAATCAGAGCTTTATCACATTCATACACCAATGGGACACACATTGGAGACAATGAGGGTTCAGTGTCTTGCCCAGGAACACTTTGGCATGCTGGTGGATTCAAACCCCCCATCTCTTGCATTGGGGGACGACTGCTCTAACCACTCAGCCACAGCCGCCCACAGTTGTTTGGAAAATGCCTGCAGATTGTGGGTTTGCAGCTTGAGCACTGACAGCTTCAGTCAGTGAGGACAGATAAATAATACAATTAGAGTTGTTGTGGTGCTATTTAAAAAACAACAAAATAAACTGGATTTAAAATGGTTTACAACAGAAGTGAAGTTTGTAAAAAAAAAAAAAAAAGAAAGGGTTTTCAGAGCTAAACACAGAATTGCTGCTGTTGTAGCACTAAAAACCAAAGCTTGCAGTCTCACAATGTATTTATTTCTCACTTCTGTGGCTTCATCTCATAAGACAAGATGAGGTGGGCCAGGTCTGACAGCATGTTAACAACAGTGTGAAGCCTCAGAGCCACAAACAATTAGCTTAGTTCCTTTTTTCAACCAATGACATGAATAATTCTGTCAGACAGCCAGAGAAGAAGCTGCTTTATTGTTATTATATTTTATACGTTTTCTTCCTGATGGAACTGTTGATACTGTAAAATATACATCATTTGGTTGGGGGAAAAATGTATCCACTCTTTAATTACACTCATCCCCAAGCTTATATAGACCACAGCACAGCAGTGAAAATTGTTGGGATTTAATATATTGGCTCAGATGATGAGAAAGCCAGTGGCCCTGAGGTGGAGTTCAAACACATGAATCACCAGAGTTATGGTTCAAATGATATACAAGATGACAGATGAAGACAGGGTCTTGTCATTTATGGTTTGGGAGGGGAAAGTAAAAAGCTAGAATGAGCACGCCAAAAATTCCTGAACGTTGTTTCAGTAAATCGCTCAACTAAAAAGCACATTTGAGTCATTCTTATTTTTTATTCAGTAAGTTTTAATCTGAAAAATGGAAATCTACAAGAGGGCTTGAAGAAGTGAGTCACTTGTGTTCCTCATTCGGGGCAAAGGAGCAAGATAAGCAACGTGAAGCACGGCAGATGCACACAGGGGTCCTGTGTGAACGCCCTCAAACACAGATGGATCCATGTACGAGAACACACACCACTCTACCACACACAACCACAACCACACACACAGAGGACCCGGCTTCCTCTTCCCGCTCTGTACTTCTTACAACTCCTTGTCAGGCTTTGAAACTTGATCTGCTAGTTGCCTGGTGACTGCAGCCTGGTTTTTAGGTGCACCCCCTCCTTTTATTTGGTCTCTCAATGAACTCTTTTTTTTTGGGCCCTTCAATCTGAGGGCTTTAAACGACAGGAGGATGCATGCAGGGGGGGAAAACGCACACGATGCTCATACCAGTCCCAGCCAGAGCAGTTTGAAAGTAAACACAGAAATGTGAACAAATTCCCAACAACCTGTTGTTTTTACTGTGCTTGTACGGTTCAGAGGAATTTTATCTCATCCAATTGTACTTTAAATTATTATGAAACAATTATATATATGTGGGGGTGGGGGGACGACACACACACAAAAAACAACACCTCCAATTTTAAGATTTGTTGCAAATTTTGTATATGGCAAAGCATGGTTTCATGCAACTTTGATAACAATCTCACAATTTATTGCAGTTTATTTTCCAGGCAGCAGTCTGAATGAAGCCTTAAAGCTATAAAAAGCATTATGTATGGCCTTAGGACAGGACACACCGAGAGTAAAGACAGACAACAATAGCTAACAATTAACCCTGCATTCCAGACTGGGGCTGTTGCTGTGCTTAATAGTTAGGTTTAATGATTGACTGACCTCCTAAAAGATGGACGGGCATTAGGTGGGTGGTGCTCGCTCAGAGGTCCCATAAAATGAATACCTTTGGTTTCAGGTCAGCATATTTCAAACAACTGGGCAGGGCTGGGAAAGGGGAAATGAGCAGGCAGATGATAAGAGGTATAAGGATAGCGCTGGGCTTTTTCCTCTAATCTTGCGTCGAGGAATCCTCCCACATGCAACCTTTCCTAATCAGATGTGGAGCCAGTTTCCCACTGCAGATTAAAATAAAACAAGACTCTTTCTCATACGGCTAATCCTCATGTGGGTTCACATCATGGGATGCTCGGTGATCATTGTGGCTAATTGCGCCCTAAAATACAACCTATGGAAATCCCACTGAAACACCACGTGGGTGTGTATACATGTTGATTTTCAAAATTTGGTGAGCGCCCTGCCCCCTGAGTCTACACAAGGGAATTCTGCTTTCACTGTCAAACACTTAACCCTTTCCTGTAGCCTCTCCCTCTTGTCCATCACTACAAAGAGACGGCAACCCCCCGCCCCCTTCCTCATGCTCTCAGGTTACCATAGTGATGGGAACGAGGAAGAGCCAAGGCTGTAGGTTTAGATTTGAATTCAGTTGCTGTAGAAACACGACACAGTCGTATATGGGTGGAGGGGAGTTGTTCATGCGAGAGGGTGGGTTTCTACTGTCAGATTTGAAAAATGACACGTGGTGGAAAACGTTTTGGATTTAAAAAAAAATAAAAATGCAATCTAAAAGTTAAAGAAGTAAAGAGAGGGGAGAAATAACTAAAGAAAGAAAAAGAGGGCTGTTCTTTTCACCTCGTGGTCAGACAAAACACCCAGGCTGCGCAACAAATGTTGCTTTATTCAGATTTGAACGTTGCATTCAGGGATTAAAATCTCAGATGGTACTTGGCAGGTGTTCTGCCCCAAAAATGTCTGATAGTTTGATGAAAAAAAAACAAAGCTGGAAAAGATGAGGACTGGTCACCCCGTGTTTGAATCAAAGAGGAACTGAGGAAGAGGTTACAGAGAGGTTACTCAAATTATGTGCATTGATAAACCACGGACAACCAATGAGAGGTTGGCCTTTCTGACCTCTGTGATCCAGCAGACACATTCATCACCCCTCCAATGTTCACGAGTCCTTCTCCAGAGACAAACGCCCTTCGACTCTTAAGTCGAACAGAGGGAATGGCTGAAACAATAGCTGCTGCTTCGCCTCGTGTCTACCCTCCTCCTCCTCCTCGTTATTTTTTTCATCCAGTGGCTATCATATGACAACTCCAATCCACCTAAAATGAGTCCTTGTTTCTAACAGGTTGCGTTGCAGTGCAGCCAAGTGTAGAAAATGGAAACACTAATCCACCGGTGCTGTTTGAACTCTAAGACGCAGCCTCTTCATATTAGTGAGGCAGGTTCTCACCCAGTGGGTGGCAGGTTAGAAACGACTCAACTTACAGAGTGGTGCTGCTAGCTGGTGGCTGGCCTTCTCTCCCTGATCTCCTCTTCCGTCTTCACTCAACGTGACTTCTTGCAGGCTAAATTATTGTATTCCTTCCAACTATGGTTCCATTGATGCAAACACACTTTGAGCAGGCATATTGAAGTTGGTGAGTTTTACGCTAGAGCTGCACAATATACAGTAGTCCCTCACCACTTCTTGTTTATCGCAGACTTGCGCTATTGTGGTTTTTCAAAATAAGATTAGACATAACACACAGCTGGCTGACTGATGGACGAGCCACAAGATCTGCATGAATTTTTATTTAAAATGAATTATTTAAAACTATTTAGCATCTCCTACACCACTGTGCAGCCCAGAGCTGCAAGATAAACTTCCTGCTGCAGCTGATCAGCTGTTCATCGTGCAGAGTGGAGAAGTGGGCGTGGCCAGGAGCACTTGCAGGTGGCAAAGAACAGATGAGGCAAAGAGCTGAAATCATGACATTCTGTGCTCTTTTAGAGCGTTTAGAGTTTAGAAACATTGTTTAGAATATTGTAAGAGTGTGGGAAGGGTTTAAAATGCCTTAATAAATTTATATATAAATAATAAAACAAACTACTACTTACTACTTGTACTACTATTCCTACTTCGCGTTTTTTCACTTATTGTGGGTCTCAGGACGTACGAATCCCCCGCGATAAACGAAGTACTACTGTATTGCAAATGTATTGTCATAGTAAAACCAGTGATTTTCAGTGAAAAGATTGCTCTGTCTGCAAAAGCCACTACAATTCAAGCACCATGTCTTCATAGACTTCATGTTAACAACATATTTTATTAATCCAACAGACTCACTGGCCTTGATGCCCACACCTGGTTTAGATCATGGTTATGACAGATGAGAAAGGTGAGTGTGGGAATCTGGATTTATTATAATCTGTACCATCACTGCAATATTAGGCGATAATGGTACATATGGTATATTTTTCTAGAAGCAAGCAGCTCTATTTTATGTCTACTAAACCTCTAGAACGTGCAACATGCAGCTCTGGAGTCACATGTGACTCTTCTGTCTCTTTGCAGTGGCTCCTTGTGACCAACAATAGCATTAACCTAAGTTATATTTAAATTTAAACTGACAACAGGAAATGTTACCTTTTGTAGCTTTCCAGTTCAAATGTTTGCAATAAGATTTTTAATATTTCCACAGCAAAATGACATTAACTGGGTGGTTAGACCGCTGTGTGGACAGACATTAGCAGACATATTATTATAAATGCATTGTGTCAAGTTGTCAGACGTTTTAACAACAATGTGCTTAAAATGCAGAACAGTTTTATTGTTGAGCTAATGGTTTGTTGGCTTGCTTCCTACTTTGTTCTTCAAATCCACCAGAAAATTCACCATCTTCAACATAAGAGGCAGAATTCTGTAAAAGAATAAAGTAGTTCTGTGCATCTGTTTGGTGAATATAGATTTTAAAGCATCAAAATACTAACATTACAGCAAATTAAAAAATTTGAAATATGGATCTTATTCATAAATGTCAGGTACCTTAAGCACTTTAAGTTAAAAATGGGCCTTTTTAAAATATTTAGGTGGTAAATAACAAATAACTTGATGAGTAAAACTTAATAAATGAAACCTAATAGTTTTATTTTTTTATTTAATTTTGAGGCTTAGTACAAATGGCTTTTTTAATCACAAAGGTTGCAGTCCCGTTAAAAGATGGATTTCGTTGTTCTAAAAAATGTTACTTAATGATAAAAACTAAAATAAGCTGTATTGCCTCTTTTATGTGTTACATTAGCAGAGGTAGCCATGTAAGACGACGGATTTTTCTGTTTGGAGAAGCATCAGCACTTCTTTTTTCTTTGTTCATTCGTATGTGCATAAGGGAGCCAAGCAGTGGTGCATTGTGGGATGTGTTTTGATTTGAATACAATCATAAGTCTGGGACTGGCCCCTGCCTCTGACAACTCCCCCCCTCTCGCTCCCCCAAATTTCTCTCTTCAATCCTCCTGTCCCACTAATCAGTTTAACCCTCTTATGAATAGCTCTTTGTCATGAGATAGATTACAGTTAACTCTGTCCCTCTTGCTGCGTCCACTTCCAATAACCTGCTGCACTAGCAAACTCACAACTCACGTGCTGAAATGCACAACAGTAACCCAACTTTAGTCTGGTGCATGATCATAAAACCTTAGGTTTAAGATTAAAACCATTAAAAGTTACAAATCTAGGGCACACTAATCTAAAAAGACATGCTGGCATTCATGCTTTCTTTGTGTCATTGTTGGCTGCATTTCATCTTGGCCCAGAAAAACTTGCAAAACTAAAGACCCAGCATTACTTCACTGGACGTATATTGACCAACACCTTTCATGCCAGAGATCTTGTGCGCGCTGTTAGCACACAGAAAGGAGGATCAGCTGCAGAAAGTTAATCAGTTGTAGAATAAAATGATTACTTTCTGCAAGTTCCAATAAAATTCATTCAGTGGTTCATGAGCTATGTTGGTAACAGCCTGACACACACACACATGCAAGCACACACACGAAACTACTTAAAGTTAAAAATCCACCTCAGTGTAGTTGAGAGTTCAGAGGAGTTCAGCTTTAGCCTATAGATGTGTTTTAAACTTGTGCATGTGTGTGACAAATGCACACCCTGACTTTACCAGATTTCAGAAGTCTCTCAGGGGGTGTGATGGACGCCTGCTGAGATTTGGGGCTGTGCCCATTATTGTTCTAACCTCAGGTCAGTGTCCTCTGCTCACAGTCTCTACAGATTCTCTTCAGCACACAGGAGACATTTGATCAGGCCCTGCAACAGTAAACCATCCTGACACTGCAGGACCCCAGCATATTGCCTTGACAATAAGCCTGCTATAAAACAGTGTCAGTCACAGTTTATCTGGATGCTTCCTCTTTGTGCTGAGCTGACTAATGTTTAGCCCTCAAGGACATGCTGGGTGTGAAACAGAGAGTGAGAGGTTTTCATACCTTTCAGGCTCACATGAAGCACAAACAAGATCTGAACAGGCTGGTGTTTAATGGTTTCTGTGGAGGGCTGCCTAGCCTTTAATCGTGACACTCTTTAAATAATTAGTCCAATCTCATGCACAACTGATATTATATTAAAAACTGGCTGCTTTAATAGACTAAAGGATGCAAAATAATCACTTCCTGGGATTCTTTTCATGTGATTTAAAAAAATCAGTCAGTGGCCTTGAGGTAAAGCAGCAAACGGAGGACAGTCAGCACCTGGGAATGCCTTTTATTCTTAATTTCAATGTCTGCTATTCTTACCACAGAAAAACCTTAAGTAAATGTTACACATTACAGAAAATGTCATTTTAGTTTTACAAATCTGGGTCTGATATCTTATTTAACTTTATTAGAAATCATTAATTTTATTGACACCCCACGCCACAGGAGCTGAACACTGATTTGCTCTGATCTTTTAAATATTTATTGATTTTTATCTTGTTGTCTTTTTGAGCTGAACATCCTCCCTGCACATCAGCTCCTGTTCTTAGACGAGCCAAGACAGAGATCAGGAAATGCTTGACGACATGATCTCATAGTCATATGTGAAATCCCACATCATTTTTAATTTGAGGGCAGCATATATTAGACCCACAGCGCTGACACGCTTCACATGTTGCCATCTGCTTCCAGTGGGAGGGGAGGTATGAGGATCTGAGGCAGACAGGGGCAAAGCCTGCGCCAGACAAATGCAAAACAAAGGATAAATATGACAGACATGGTTTTTATTTTACTGTAAGCTTCACCTTTACTGCAGTATTAACTTTATTAGGAGTGTTTGTGTCTGAAATGACCACTGAACAAAACATTAAGAGTGAGGCTAAATGAATGCAGAAGAGTTGCCTTTATGTTGCTGGCTCTTAAAAACCTCCCGTGATGTTCTTCGATTAAAAGAGCCCGTCAAAATACATGTTTGTGAATCATCCTCGGTCGCACCGATGTAACAAACAGTGGACTTTTCAGAATGGTTCCTTGTACATTTCAGTGACCCAGTTGAGACAGTAAGGGATTTTGGGTGTCCCAGTGGTTCCGTCAGCTTTAAAAACCCAATGGGAGCTTGTGATGCCCTTCTTTGTCTTTTGGGCTCTGGTAGACAATAAAAGGATTATAGAGCTCCAGCAAGAAAACTCCCATTATTCCCAATGCTTCATCCATCCTCCTTCCAGCACAACAATCTCCTCTTACTGGGTCACCCCTCAGCATACTAATATAAAACACAACCAAGCCCCCGCCTACACTTCTAATTCCCCAGCGAGCAGCGTTATTGGTATATTCCCCCCTTTCTCCTTCCTCAGCTACCCCACCCCCATTTAACTGCTGCCACTAAAACACATCCATTCATGCCCGTCCCCTCTCCGCTACTGTACTGAAGCACACTGAACACACAGACTGAACACCACCTGTAATTATGGGGGCATTGCTTTAGATGGATTATCTATCTGGGGTATTGTTACATCAAATCTTCCACTTCCTCTAGTCTTCAAACATTATAATGTTGCCCCCTTTTAAGAAAGATGAATTAAAAAATTGTTATCCAATACATTTTTAGACCCTGCTCCCTTTAATGAAAGCACAACCAAATAAATTGAGGATCACTGATGGTAGCTCCATGTTTAGTTACCTTTTTACCACTGAGAACAGCTTTAAAATACCACTTTGTGATCTCTATTTTTAAAAAACGATCTGAAGTGAAGTCTGACAGATGTTCTTCAAAGGCCTAACTCCCAGCCGAGTGACGAGCCTTTCATCAGCGTTCTGAAAGGAATGCAGGAATACATGTGAATAATGCTCACCTTTATAGTTAGGATGAACACGAGGAGCGTATACTCCAAATTTGATGAGGATGGGGACGTTGTAACCAAGACGCACCCACTCCACAACATGAAGCGGGAACAGGTTTGGGGTGGTGGCTTCTTTGGAAGTACCGGTAGGTGTGAGACTACAGCTCAGCTCTGCAGAGGCTCCCACTCTGGCCTGAACCAGGGACGCCAAACCCTGAGACGCACCTGGAAAGACGACAGTGTATCATGGGGATTAAAGCACAGGATGCATCTTGAATAACCGCATACAACACAGAAGACCAAAAAATTTAAAATAAATTAGTGAATAGGCAATTAAAGATGTTTCTCTAGAAGTGGATCAACCACTACGGATTTGTTGCCAGCTAACTTCTGTAAAATTTTATTTTTTGGACCAGTAGATACATTTTCATGGTACTCATTACAACGTCATAAAGGATGGTAAAAAAATACATAATAAGAAACAAAATCTGCACAATCTTGTCCTCATATCAATGTGTCTTTAAATCAAAAAAATTGCAAGCAAAATTTGTGAGTGGCTGCCAACAATCATGTGCGTTTGTTTTTACTGAAACAGCCGAAGTGACTGAATATAGGTCACCAATGATGACATTCAAGGAAGATCCGTTCAGGATGGAGAAGTCCAAACATTTTGATATTTTGTTATGCATTTACATTTAGATTTGTTGAGTATGAAGATAAAAAGATTAGCTTGAAACTGTAAACTTGCTTATCTAGAAGTTTTGCAAAAGCTGTTTGAATGTCGAACTCTTTATGGCGTTCCACCGCTCTGCTTGACCTCCAATAATTATTCTTGAGTGTTGTCTTTGTCTTTCTTATTTCTTTCACATCTAGCAGCACATTCACTTTTATATTTTCACCTTAACGTCTTCTCAGAGATTCAACTCGTCTGATTTTGACATCTTTGTGAACTTACACAAACCAGTCAGCTACTCAAACTTCCATTAGGTTTTTAGCTGATTCAGCCGTGTGCTTTGTTTATACTGACTGCAGAAATGCTTACCAATAAAATTCTAAATATACTAAATACTAAATTATCTAAAATACTGGAGAAAACGCCTTTAAACTGCACCATTTTATATAGTTCAGGATAACTTTTTATGTTTTTTTTTTATTATTTGCAACAAGCAGCTTTAAAAGAAAACTTGATGAGATAGGCAGCAAGGAGTTAAAACAGAAATGCTGATAGGTAACGGTTAATTGGGGGCGAGGGGGTGCAGAGGTTAGAGAAGATGGGCCTGTGATTGGAAAGTCGCAGGTTCAACTCCCGGTACCGTCAACTTCAAAATATGGGTGGAAAAGGTGAAACACCCACACCTGCCTCCACCCTCATTCGCCTCACTCTGGTCCTCTGAGCAAGGCCCTCAACTCCCACCATCTGCTCCCAAAACAGGTCTCTCTTGAAAATGAGTTCTCGTGGCCCATTGAGACTACCTGGATAAATAAAGGGTAAATGAAAACTTTTTATTTTATAGTATACGTTGCATCGGATCTGATCCTGATCAAAGGTGATCTGTGATCAGGCACCGATTGTGATTTCCCCAGACTGTTAAAAGCCAGGCCATCCTACAGTATGAACAACAATCATGTGGTAGTTGGCAACAAGATTGTTTAGCTGCAATCCCATTAGAGACACCTGGAGCAGGAAGCACTCTCTCTAGCTGCTCTATGTCCCTCGCTGTCGTGTGCTCACATGGGTGTGTGCTCAACTGGGTGCCAGTGTTTGCTCCACTGCTCATCTGGCCTGGTGATTACTTTAATCTCAGAGAAGGGGGGTGAGAGGGGGACACTGATGTAGCAGGACCCTCCATGTGTTCCAGCCAACCTCTCACCACCCCCTGGGGTGTCCACATGGTCTGTGGACCAGCAAGATCAATCCCACCACCACCCCCAACAAACACAACACACACACAGAAGCGTGACTGGGGTAGGGGGTAGCATAAATCCAGGATTGATCTAAATCCACACCCAGAGATATTGTTCAAGTTGGATTTTGGCCCCGTTCTCTCTTGTCCACTTGTGTCTGAGCTGCAACCCCCCCTGCTCTTCACTCTCTCTGACATGAAACAGTGAGCGATGAGCCAGATGAATGTTTGATGTCTGTCTGCATGCAGCCAAACAACAACATAAACCAGCTGTTTCCTAAAGTTTCACCAAATGCAAGCCTTGTTAGGTAATGATGCTAACGTTTGGTTAGACTAACTGTCAGAATAAATATGTTATTTATAGCTGTTTCAGGGTGGACATCTGAACTTGCATGCAAAGTTAGAATGTAAATCACATCTCAAACTAAAGGCACGTGGGCCAGATCCAGCCCGTGTTTTAACTTTATCCAGTTTGCAAGATAATTTCTTAAATGAATCAGAAGTGGCTTACAATCCATCATTCTCTGTTGCATCTTATTGAAACATTAAGGGACACCTTTTCTTTATGATCTCTGACCTAAGGTCATCTTTCAATTACTGTTCTGAGCAAAAGTTCATGTTGTTACGCATTATAAATCCTTGTTATAATTTGAAAGAAGTGTTTACATTAAGAGGGTTCACTCTCAGACATCTAATCAGTAAAGTTAGAATGATATGTTTCTTCTAAGACTCATAAAACAAAGAGATTTATGGTAAACTGAAAACGGTTCAGTTGAATGGAGAATTATTTGAAACATGAAAAATTAATGTTGATAATATATGTATAACCAGGCGCTGACTAGGCCTGTCACGATAACAAATTTTGCAGGGCGACCGTCTCATAAATTATTGCGATAAACGATAATATTGTTTGAAACCTGACAATAATTAGTAATTATTGTCAAATTTAAGAAGAAATTAGTTCAGTTAGTGATGGGGCCGGTGCTTCGGTTCCTCCTGGGCTGTTCCGATTCTTTTAATCAAGGTTCCTGGTTGCGATGGCCGGCACTTTGACCGGGGTGGCTGCCGGCTTTCGGCGGGGGGTCGGCTATGGTAGTGTACGTGTGGTCATTGGTGGTGTAGGGCGGCGGTTGGGGGCGTGGCTTCGCCTCATCAGGGCACTGGCTTGTCTTCCTGCGTGGCATTTGCGGTGGGGGTGCTGTGTGTGTGGGGGGGTGCATAGGTGGCGTGCTGGGGCGTCTCCGGGCCTATGGTGCGGAGCTCTTGATGTGAGAGCCGGCCCTCCTCGGCTGCGGCTCCCTGCTGCTCTGCCCCTTGGGCTGGGGCCGGCCTGTGGTCGCTGTCAGGTAGATGGTGCATGCGGTCGGCCCGACAGAGATTCTGTCGGGCTATCTGTGTGTGCCTGTTGGTTGCTCAGGTTGGGTTTTTGGTGGTCCCCCCTCTCTTGGATCAATTTGGGCCCCACGTTTGGTGTGGGGCCCACTCCCCCCGGTCGTGCCCCCCTTTGGCGGGGGACCCCCTTGCCGCCGGTGCATTGGTGGCTCTCGGCATCTGGGCTGGGTGGTGGGGTGCACGTCGGTCCGCCCTGGTTGCTGCCTGGCGGGGCCTGGGTGCCCTGGCTCTGTCAGGGCTCTGCTGGGGGGTGGTATGGCCTCGGGGCTTGGGGCTCGGTGTCCATGGCCGGATCTACTTGGGGGGGCATGGGTTGCCGGCCGGACATGTGGGCTCGTCGCTGCAGCTTCCTGGAGGCTCTGCATTGTGGTGGCTGGGGTCACCCGGTTCTTTCCTCTGCTCCTCTCTGGGGGGGTGCAGTTCTCCCTGTTGGGAGACTCCTGGGGCTCCGGGCCTGTGGGCCGCTGTGTGTCTGTGGCTCCGGTCCTCCCTATGTTGCCATTGTGTCCTGGGGGGGCGGGTCTGTGGGCCCCCGCGTCCACTATTGGGCATTCTTTTGGAGAAATCTGGTGGTGGCGGGCGTGCTTGCGCGGGTGTTTGGATTCAGGTGCTTTGACAGATGCACGCTAGGTTGGGTAGTGGTGGAAGCTAGATGATTCCTTGTGCGATGTCGAATGTTTCATGGTGATATTGTGGGTGGCATTGTGCTGTGCATGTTGTTTTGTCGTGGTGGTCTCTCGTTTTATCTATTTCTCTTTTATTTATTTATTCATTCTTCTTTCTTCTCTTTCTTTAACAACAAAAAAAAAAAAAATTGCGCGATGATGATAAGTTCATTGAAACACTTCACAATGTTTCTACACTTAAACTGAGCTCAAAAAAAAAAAAAAGAAGAAGAAATTAGTTTGTTTTGAGTGTAGTACCTTTTTTGACCACTGGATGGCAGTATATAACTGAACCAAAGGATGGATAGTGACGGAGTCAACAGCGTGTCTCTTTAAGAAAAATTGTGAGGGAGGTCCCTTGACATGACATGGGTTGTCTCTCGTTCCTGTTTTTTGCTTCTCAAAATGGTGGATGCTCTGTGTGGTTTGAGTTTTTTAGCATAACATTTGTCACACAAAGTTTTTAATAAAAAATCAGTAAACAAGTTCTCAGCTTCTTTTTGCAGAGAAAAACAACTTTTTACACAAAGGCACGGGTTTCAACCATGAATTTTGGAGCTTCGACAAGACGGAGGTTTTTTTCTTGAGGTCAGCCTGTTAGCTTAGCTCGTAGATTAGCTTCTCAGCTTAGCTGCTTTTAACAATCCAAAAACATGATTTTGGACAGTTAAAATGGATTTTAAAGATAAAAGAGAAAGGGAGGGGTCAGTGAAGAACACCGGAGTTGAGCTTTTTGTCATCCAGTGTCTTCGGTAGAAAGAGAGAGACACGAAGAAACGCTAAAGCCGAAAAATGAAGTTGATAATTTTCATTGAGCATGCAATTAATTTGTTTATCGCGACAGGCCTAGCGCTGATATAGTGGTAAGCTAGCGGTGCGCAATACAGACACGCTAGCTAAAAAAATCTACAGTTAGCGCCCCGTTTCCCTCAAGCTGAGCCGTCTCCACCCCCACCCGCTCGAAAACTGTCGGTACAAACAGCGCGCAACACAGACGTGCCTCCATCAACACCCTGCCAAGTCAAGTAATCAATCAATCAATCAACCTTTATTTATACAGGTAAATCCCATTGAGCCTCGAGGACTCATTTACAAGAGAGTCCTGATTTCAACAAAGAAAGATGACAACAATGGACAACAGCAACAACAATAAACAGTTATAAAAAAGCATACTACAGTTTTTTTTTTTTTAACAAATAGGATGGCTAAAAGGAAAAGGTAACAAAACAAAAAACAGCTAGATTCCAAGACAAATGTAGAAAACTAACAACAGGAACATGTCTGCATTGGACCCTGCCAGGTGTCCAACAGATTCTTAAAGACACTTAGAGAGGTCAAGGTCGAGAGCTTCAAATCTTTTTGTAAGATATTCCAGTTAACAGGAGCGGAATAGGAGAAGGCCCTTTTGCCTATTTCAGTCCTCATTGAGGGAACACTGCAGGTAATAATGTCCTGAGAGCGCACTCCGTAGCTGCACTCACGAGGAGACATGTAGGAGGAGATGTATGAAGGCAGCAGACCAAGAAGTGATTTAAAGATGAAAATATACCAGTGAGAGAGTCTGCGTGAAGTTAATGATGTTCAGTTAACCAGTGAATACAGGGTGCAGTGGTGGGTACGATAATCACAGCCAGTTATGAATCTTAGTGCACCATGATAGACAGCATCCAACATCTGCAGGGTTCTTGTAGGAGCGTTCATGTAAATAATGTCACCGTAATCAATGGAGGGAAGGAAAGTCACAGATACAAGGCGTTTTCTAGCATTCAGGGTTAGACAGGATTTGTTTCTGAAAAAGAAACCCAGTTTAACTTTCAGTTTCTTTACCAAGTTACCAAGTAAACTAGGTGAAATATTGTTATATGTATTTTACCTAGTAAGAAATTTGTTAAATTATTTGACTAATTTCTTATTTGAGTTTGACACCCTCTGACACACAATCGGCGACACTATGATGGAACGCGCTCTCCATCATGTAAATATAATCCAACATTGCAGAGTGGCTGCAATAGAATCCTAAATACACAAAGAAATGTTCAACTTTGTACTTGTTGAAATTACTGCATCTGTTTGTTACTGTTTCATTTTGTCATTCAGATTTGTAAACTAAATCAATTAATTTACTGAGTCCAATTACAACGTTGGACAAAATGCTCATCTCTTTTGACATCTGTAGCTGCACAGGATGCTTTCTTTGGTTCAGGAACTGTTTCTCTTTTGAATTTTTATGAAAATTATATATTAAGATATTTATTTTATAATTTTTAAAGACAAAACAAAATTATATAAATGACTCTGAGAAACACAATATTTCAAAAGATGCATTATGAATATTAATGTATGCCATGGATCCATATTAGCATAGCATACTTACTTAGCAGACAGATGGCTACAGCAGTGACAGCCTGAAGCCACCGTCTCTCCAGTCCCATGGCCGTCCGTCAGGCTCCTTCACACATCTCCCAATCTGCAAAACAAGTCCACACGTCCTGTTTACTCGTCATCAGAAAGACTTGTGCAGTAGTTACAGAATCGCAGAGGGACATCCCTCGCATCCCCCCTTCAGACAAATGTAATCCTGGGAGTTAACCCCAACTCATTATCCAACCAAAACACCACATTCCAGATGATTTTTGGTTAATAAATAAGTGTGTTCTTTGAAAACCAAATCTCCTTTAAAACTGTGTTTCATGTGTGCTTGGATTAATGTAAACTAATCTAATCCAGCGAGTGCTTCAAGAATATAAAAACAGCAGGACATGCTTACAGCATACACACTGTAGACGTCTGCCTGCAAAGAGTGGGTTAAAAGTGTATGAATGTGCATGTTGGTTGCAGAGGACCAGTACAAGGCTCTGAGTATGTACAGATTAACCTGATGCTTGTGACTGGCCCAGCTCATCCAGAAGGTCTCATGTCACTTTATTGCTA